TTCAAAGTTTTACCTATTCCTCAAGCACATTACACAGCTGTGTATATACACACATACCCATTCTACTTGTCACTTTCAATGTAGTATTTAATAAATTAAATAAAATATACAGGACTTTATTTTTTTACAGACTATGATTTTGATTTCCACTTACAGGAAAAGCTGAGCATGTTTAAGGTATGTTAGGTATGAGGCTTCGTAAATTATGGTTATCACACATTTTTCAACTCCTGAAATCTCCAAATTATGGTGATTAATATTGGGCCTAACTTCAATGCCAGCCAAGAAGTACCTGTAACTTTTTTCTAAAATCTTAATGCATCAGGTATGCTAGAAAGTGAAAATATCTACTGGACCTGTTACATAGAAACATGGAGTTGTTAAATACTGAGCATTTACTGGGAATAAAGGGGTAACATATATTAGAATAAGATCCTACTTTAAAAGTATAATATATTTAAATACTTTAAATTGATTCAAAGATAAAATATTGCATAGAACAAATTGATTTATAAGGTTAACAGTTAACTTAATATTTTACTGCATTTCCATATATATTTTATGACTAATGTAAAGTTCATGAAGACAGATTTAGTGGTAAACAGCATCCACATAATAAAGGAGACAGTCAGTATTTTGTTTTCCCCCATAAATCATATAAACTTCAATAAATTTGTATATATTCAAAGGCTCCAAGCTGTGATATTAATTGAATGTGGGCATTCATACTTCATATTAATAGTTCAACTTTCTTTCATTGCAAGGTTTAATACTCTGATGACTGTACATATTGATTAGGTATCAGCATATAGTAAAAATTCCTATTTATGTTTATTTAGGACTAAAGTATTTAAACTGTCACATTTTTCAAAGTATCAAGTTATGTGAAATATTCAATTCAAAACTCCTTTTATCACAGATATGCATATAGTAAATTCAATACTTCTCCAAGAAATCATATATAGCATGATTTTGGCTCTCTTTTATAACCAAATTCTTTGTACTCACATTTTAATATCTGATGACATAGTCTGCCAGATAAATATCATATTCAGTAAAGAAGTAAAGTTAATATGTTAAAGTAGGTGCACTTTTAAACCAAGTCCAAATTTCATTAAAATGACAAAATTATGACAACCTCAATTATTACCTATTACAAAATTCTTTCAAAGGGTTTTATATACAGTTCATAAAATGTATCCTGAAATATAAATACAACACAATTTATCTCAAAATGTACTATTATGTACATGAAACTATAAAAAGTGGCTCAAACATATCTTTCTCTAAAGGTATTTATGAGAACTAAAAAATTTTTAAGTGATTATTTTCAGTGAAATTTAAGGTTCATTTTGACTTATATTTTAGAAATTAAAACATATTCCTTTAAAAAAAATGAAAATTAATATTATGTTAGGTTTATACAATTTTAACCTATAAGATATGAAACAAATCTATCCCAAATGGAGCCAAACAGAATAAATGCGGATAAAAAAACATACAGTAAAAATCCAATAAGTAAGCAGTCTTTCCACCGGCATTCATCATAACAAAGCAATGCTAGCATTTTATTTGATAATATTTGAAATACTTTTGGAAGAGGTAAGTTGACAACATCATAATTCAAAACTTGCTGAATCTGCAGGTAGTAAAAGAAACTAAGAATCACAAAAAATATGATTTAACCAAGATCACTTGGCAATTCGATAATATAATATTGAATAATTAATATTCATATTCTAAAGAATGACTTAAAAATGCATTTTTGAATTGTATTTGGAAATACTTCATGTATAGGCAATAATGATTTTGAAGCCAAAAAAGGAGGGAGAGATTAAATACAAATTTTACTCATTAAATAAAATTTATTTGCAGAATTCCTACACACATTTTTTTGTTCCTCAATTCATTCAATAATGGGGGGGGGGAATTATTCAATTTTAATCAGATAATTTGGCATAGCTGTAGTCTATAACATGGCAGGTTTTCAGACTTTTCTACATTTATCAAGAAACGTAATTACTCCAAAACAAATTCTGTTATCTATCAACTATAGGAATCTGTTTTAGTTCTCCCATATGGACTATTTTCCAGATTTTTAGACACCCTGCATAGTGATAAAAAGCACAAAAGTAGAACATATCAACATTGAAAACAATGATAATTTTTTTAAATAATACATTCAGTTTCGGTAGATATACTGTAACCTTATATATTCCACACATCACTGAGAAGTGCTAATTGTTGTCTAAAAACAAGCCGATGACAAGTAATCCCATTCAAAACAAATGAAAATGAATTCTTATTCAAAAGACACCCCATGTTAAGGCATATCTAATAGAGAAATGCAAAGCTAGCATAGGGGAAAAGTGTCTTAAATAATGCTTGTACTTAATGAATTAGAGTGGCGTACTGTTTAAGGATGAAATCATGATTAGTCAAATCCCAGACAACAATGCATTAAGTTTGATATATCTACCAGTAAAGTGGAATGACTTTATAACATGTTATATTTTTTCTACACAATGATGGCCTCAGGTCACATACATTTACAGAAAATCTCTCATAGATATACTCATTGCTGCAACATACTGTACAGCATCACTCAGGAATTAATATTACAATCAGTGCATTGCAAAAGGAAAAGTAATAACATTTTGGGCATATCTTGTTCAATACATTTCTTTAAAATATACCAATGGCATTTTAATGGAAGATCATAACTCAGGCTGACATAAAAGGCAGAATTCTAAAAACCAACACACAGAAATAAAAATTATGGACTTGATAACTTTATCAACAGTATATTTTACCTGATATAAATTAGTTATATAGTTTATACAGCAATATTTCAAAATTGATAATGTTTTTTTAAACATATACTTTTTTTATCGGAAACTTGCACCTTAACTTTTTTCCTTCCTGTTAAATGCACTTGTGTTGCAACTAACTCATCTGAAGCATTAGCGGTACTGTGTGCATAATGAGTTTCAACTTTTTCCAGCAATCTAATTATTCCACTGCAGATTTCAAAGCTAGTAAAGACCTTCTTCAAAAGAGAAAATTTTTGTTTGAAATGAAGACATATTTGGTGTAAAACAATATTACTTTTCAATTAAAAATAATATTCCTTAAATTCCTTTTCAGTGAATTCTGAATATTAAAGGAGCAGTACTGTTCTTCCTAACCATCTCACTTTATTATAAAAGGAATATACATCTCTGTTCATAGGGCAGGGGGAAGGCTAAGGTGTAAAATACTTTTATAAGTTCATAAAATAATTTTTAAAAGCAATAAATATGTTTTAATGGCCACCTCTGATTAGCAAAACTTAAGAAATATGTCAATATTTTAAAACTATTTTTTCTATTTTACAAATATATTTAATCAAAAACTTAAAATTACAAAAATTAATTTTATTTACAAAATTTTCTCAAAATCTAATCATGGACTTGGTCCAAAAAATGTCCTCAATTAAAAGAATCAATTCATATAAATATGAAAAATACAGTTTATGGTGAATTTGTAGATAGAAAAATATGTATGTAACAAAGAAACCAAAATTCTGATACAATGGATGATAAACAATACAAATTCTCAATTCTGATAAATTTTTCCCTGGATGTATAAAAATTCTATGAAAACCATACAATATATTTTAACTGTAAACCATGAAACTTATTGTTTACAGCATATAGGAACCTTTTAGACTGTGTAAAGAATTCATCATCTATGCACAGACTAAAATAGCAAACACAGTCAAATACATTTTATTTAATCAAACATTTCAATAATTACTTTCTGTAGCTCATAACTACATATACATCAGAGGTAACATATACATTTGAATAAATAATTTATAAAAGCTGCATCACTCTACACAATGCACAAATTAATACTAATAAGGAAGCTTAAGCACCACAATAAGGCACAAAAATTCAAGCATTTCTGGATCATGATTTCATTATTTTTTTTTAAAATTCCATTTTGAATGCATCAAGTGAAATTTTAATTTCTGCAGAATTTAAAATGGAATAACATATCCACAAGAATATTTAAATATGCAAAGCAACTTGGTTATATATTTCTATGATAATTAAGAAACATGAATAATAATCACATAAAAGTATCACAGAAATAACACAATATGTTCCCACAAAACACACTCAAACTTGGAACTATTAAATTGTTTTTAATCTGGAGTACAAGTAATGAGAAATTAAAACATTATTTTATAGAGAATTTAATAAATGAATCAGATATAAAAAAAAATTTTAATTTTATAAATCATGAAAATGAATTTAAAAAGAAAAATTACACTATTTACAAATAACTGTGAACGTAAGAGGGAAAAAAATTAACTTATATTTCAATATTTGATATTGTTTCTAAATTGTTTTAGTACATATTAAATATATAATGCATGAATTTTTAACATATTCTATTTATAACTGCACAACAGATATAAGAAAATAGATTAAAAAAATCTGATAAAAGACAAAGATTTTCCCCTATCTTTTCCACTTTTTGAAACAAAAAGTTTATAATCAAAAGGAACAGTTGAAAGATCATGAAATACAGTCCTAACATAAAAAATATTTCTACACATAAAATCTTTTTTTCTCACATACATATATATAAAATGATTCTTTCAATCATTTGTATTTCAAATAGATTTAGAAATTTATTGTAAAGTTTTTTTTTAATATATACATTTTAAAAGCAGGGGGGGAAAAACTAATTTTGGATTACTTTATGTAATTTTTCTTTAAAAAAATCATGATATTTACTTTCATTCAAAAGTAAATAAAAGTACTAATAATTTTCAATAAAAACATTAAAATCATTCGCTAAAACTAAAAATTAGTCCAAAAATACCACTTCAGACTAATGCTACAAATATATTATTTCATGGTTTACAGCAGGTGATTGAAAAAGATGATCTAAATAGGAATTCTATATTACAAATCACTCTCCCCAATGGGAAGTGATGACCCTACCTGCCATCCTTGAGGTAATGGGTCATGACGGACGGTCAGTGTCATTTCATACGTTGGTGCTAGCAGAGCCATAACGGCGTCTTTATGAGAAGCCTGACAAACATCAGCACCATTGACCTTTAAAAAAAGTAGTCCATGAAATCCAAAAGTAAAAATAAATAAAAGCAAAGCTTTAGCATTGTATGGAAGAAAAAGATACAAGATAGCATTTACGAAGGTGAAAATTTACTAAAATTTTTTACATTAAACACTGAAACACAATACTACAATTAATTATACATCCAATTTTTTATACTCATAGAATCTTGTTTTCAATTATCCGCTGCATTACTTCCTTAATGTGCTACAATAAATTACTCCATAACTTTTCTATGTTGATAAATTTAAAAAACTGTATAAGATTTTAAAAATTCTAACAGTTCGAGAATGATCTTTCTACTCTACTAACAATGAAATGACGAGAAATATTTGTCTCTAACAGCAACTTCTAGCCAGTTACAACTTATAATATGTCAAGATCTTTAGAACAAATTCCAGGAAACAAAGTTAGCAAGTTTATTCTTAACTTGAGCTTGTCTGTCATCATGCAGATGGTATTTATTTTCTGGCTTCTAATTATCTTAATGATGAGCGCAAATGGATTTAAATGGTTGACATAAAACAATACAGATGGGCTGTCCTCATTAACATGTTCACTGTCGATATGTCTTGGTGTATGCTACGATGGTAGAAACAAATAACTAATCTTATGCCAGCACATGGTGATGTATATATTAACTTTATTTTCACATTAGTCGGTGCTGTGTCTTAGGTGTATGTTTATAATTAGCTTATTTTTAATTCATTCAGTGATTAATTCAAAATATTAAAATCATTTAAAATAAAGTTCCTATAATTAAAAATATTTTTACAGCAACAGCACTTAAAATATACTATCCTATCACCTTGGTGATATGCAAGCTGGCTGTCATAGCCTTGAGTCTGGATCTGAATCTTATAAAAAGCACAGATGTTTATAAACTTACAGTTTCTTTACAGCAATGAGGTAGATAAAATACTATTTCAGAAGTCAAACAATAGAAATCAGTGTTATATTTTTCAAATTTTCCAGGACTAGTTTCGATGGTTTAACTACCAAACCATCTTTCAGCTGCCAAAGTGCAAATGACTTGCAATTTATCTAGTAGCTACACAATTGAAACTAGTCCTGGAAAATTTGCAAATATAAAGCTAATTTTTGTTGCTAAAATAATTGTATTTTGTTGCTAAAATAATTGTATTTGTATAATGTAATATTTCTAAAATAATTGTTGTGTGTCAATTTAAATTACATAAAATACTATTTCAAAAATTTCTCTTGACAGAGTGGAGATAGGGAAAGAGAGACTGGAAGCCCTTAGAACCATTATCCCAGGCTCCATTCTTTATCAAAACAGAAACTTCTTTCTCAAGAGTGTAAAACAATGCAAAACAGATAATTCTCACATGTGGTATATTAATATACTTTGATATATATTAGTCTTTAAATATAATGTGAAACAAAAAAGAGCTAAACTAGAAAGTTCTGTCAAAATGTTTGCTGAATAGATTTAATGAATAATACTTAGGGAAAACAGTATTTTTCAGATGTTTACACTATTAAAAAAAAAAAAAAAAAAAAAAAAATTACAACATTCTAAATTTAGAAAATCTGAATTAAAAGCACCAAAAGGAATTAACTAACTAACCTTTAAAAGCCTATCACCAACCTTTAACTTTCCTGTTTTAGCTGCAGCACCTTCAGGGACTATCTAAAAAAGCACAGTGAAACAAAAAAACTATAGATATAGAGAATTGTAGAAAAAACTATAGATATATTTTGAATAAACTGTTACCATTTTATTCTTAAAAATACATTAAAACCATAAAAAATTAAATCAAAATTCTCACTGTACTTGATTGGTACTGAATTTCATTAATCTCAGAGAAAAATACACTGCTCGACATTGAAAATGCAACACCAAGAAGGAGTGGTCAGAAAGTGATGAAATTTGGAAAAAAGACAAAGACAGCAAGCAGCAATAAGTGATCTTTATTTCGAAATGATAGTCAGAATACAGAACGAGAATGGCGTCGGCTCAGTAGGATGCAAGACCCCCGTGGACTGCGATGCACCAAGAAACATGTCTAGGCATAGAGTCAGTAAAAGTGCAGATGGTGTTCTGAGGGATGGCTCTCCATTTCCTTTCAACCATTTACCCAGTTCTCTTCTGAACAAGGCAGGGGCAGAGTCTGCAAACGGCGTCCAATCACATCCCACACATGTTCAATTAGTGACAGGTCAGGAGAGTATGTTGGCCAGGGAAGCATCTGTATACCTTGCAGAGCATGTTGGCAGGTGTGAGCACTGTATGGTCGGGCGTTATCCTGCTGAAAATTGCATTAAGCAGCCCCTAAAGGTAGGGGATTGCCACCGGCCGCAGTACATTATCCAAGTATCGTTGGGCCGTCATAGTGCCCTGAATACAAACTAAAGGTGACCTGGAATCGTAGACAATAGCGCCCCAAACCATTATGCCACATTGTCACACGGCGGGCATCCCACAGTTACTGCCGGATTAGATCTGTCTCCGTGTCGACACCACACAAGTGCAGGCCACGTTCAACCAATCGACAGGAACATCCAGAGTATCTTGCAAATACTACAAAAATGCAGTACAAGTGACTTGTGGGACCGCCACAGATTGTCGGAGGAAGCGTCGATCCACGCGGGCTGACGTCACCCTGGCTGCACCTGCGCCCCTCCTTCTTCCCACATTTCCTTGTTCCAACCATGTTCGCCATAGCCGATGCACTGTGCTCGCATCCATGTGGGTATCAGCTGCAATTTGATGTAAGGATCAACCCGCCCTTCTCAGTCCAATCACCATACCCATCGTAAAATCCTCTATCTGCTGGAAGTGCCTTCGTTGACGGCGGCCTGGCATTATCTCCTATTACACATATCCTCCGGGACAAAAACCAACTTTCTTCGATAATTTATCTGGCAGAAATAACGACATGAATATTGCCCATTCTGCACGTTCCTTCCCTTATATCTTATTTCATGTGCGGAGAGCTGCGCATTTCACATCATTCGCATAACTCAGTGAAGTGTGTCTACTCTAAAATTTGCATAAATTTCTGACTACTCCTTCTAGGTGTTGCATTTTCAATGTCGAGCAGTGTAATATATATATGTTTAGTGCATAGATATTTCCATATGTTATGTTAATTATAAATAAGAAAAGAATTACGAGGGCTATCCAGAAAGTAGATTACGTTTTGGAATAAAAAAATAAACAAAGTATAGGAAACAAATTTTATTATATACAGATGAAAGCCACACTCAAATACTACTTTTCTACATGGTCACCATACAAATTAAGGCATTTATCGTAGTGATGTACGAGCTTGGAAATTCCTTCGTCGAAAAATTCGGCCGCCTGCGCCTTGCCGACATTGTTTGCATGCATTTCTTGGGTTTTTGGGGAGAACTTGTGTGCCCCCACTGCATTGATTGCAATTTCGTTTCACAGTTCACATGTTTCACCCATGTTTCGTCACCAGTATAACGATGGCGATCGAGTAAAGAGTCACCATCCTTATGGTAAGCGTCCAAAAAGTTCAAACGCTGCAAGCCATTCGCTGATTTTTGTGGTCCTCTGTCAAGATTTTTGGAATCCATCTTGCACAAAACTTGTGGTAACCAAGCTTTTCGCTGATGATTTCGTGCAACAAACTTCGCGAAATTTGTGGAAAACTCAAAGAAAGTTCCGTTATTGTGAAATTTCGATTTTTCACGGACTTTAGCATCGACTTTTTTCGAGAAGTTCGGCGGTCACTATGCTGGGTCTCCCCACTTCGATCTTCGTCGTGAACATTGGTTCGGCCATTTTGAAATCTTATGACCCACTGACGCACTCCACCTTCAGTGATAATGTTGTCCCCATACACTTCACGAAGCTGCCGATAGATTTCTATCGGTTTTACAGTTTTTTGCAGTCAGAAACCTTATTACTGAGCGCACCTCGCAGGATTTTCAATTAACGCAGACATTTCAAACCGTCACAGTATCTGAACGGAGCACAGCACGAACCTCTCACTAGCACGGCTAGATGCAGACTGAGCTGCGCAACGCTCTGACCCCAAGATGGCCGCGCTAGCCCCGCCCCTAGCGGACACAGACGGAAACGTAATCTACTTCCTGGATGGCCCTCGTACAATGTTGGTTAAGTTGATATAACATAAATTCAAATTACAAACATGTATTTCTTCTAATTAAACAAATGATATATACAATAATAAACACAAAACACAGAATTCAGAAAAAAATATAGTTATATCTCTATGATTATTCCAGATTTTGGTCTCAAAAGAAAGCTTCCACATATACAATCTTAATTTTAAAATAACAGCAGTGTGCTTTTTAAAAATCAGCTTAATTCAAATTACTCTTCAGTAGCATTAGCAATGAAGCTCAACACAGTTTAAAAACATTATTTGAATCTGAAGCAATAATTCTTATAATCACTTTAATTGGCCTTCAGATGCTGCAAATACCAGAAATTCTTCAGAACTACACAAATAGAAGAGAGGAGCTAAAAAATAAAAAATAATGGACTTATTATCTGCCTGCCCAAAAAATTCAACTGCTGTACATGAGAGTTTTTTTTAGAAAACTGAAGCTACGGTTTAGACAGTGCCAGCGTACGTTTATTGTGTATGTTGAAATAAATTTTTGTTATTTTTTGGTTTTAAGAACATTTTATTGTGTGTTATAACAATAAAATAGAAAGTCAAATTTTATTTCAACGTTAATTGATAAAGACAAAGAAAAGTAACATCCTCATTCTTAAATAAACTTTCTTACATTACATTAATATCTATTAATAAAAACTCTTCATATCCACTCCTTTAGTCGAGGCACATAATTTTCAACAGTTTCCTAGTTTGCACTGGTAGGCTTTTACACTCAGAAAATTTTTAATACCTATTTTTTTAAATTGAATCATACTTTACTAACTTTAAAATTTTTCAGAACCTTCAATATCTTTAGTTCCGTAACTACACAGACATCTTTGATTTTCTCTAACGTCACAGCTTAAGATATGCAAACACGAGCAAAATGTTTTTATAAGATTTTAATTAGTTACCTCAAAAGTGTTTGTCAATATGGTCAAAATGTTGCCATTGATTTTTACATTATCGGATTACACTTTAAAGTTTCCGCTATTGGATAGAGCAGAGAAAAGTCTTTTAAATGAAGTTTATATCTGATTTTTAAAATATTTTCTAATTTTTTGGCAAAATCACGATTTATTTGACGAAACAGTAAGCCTGAAGTAACAGCATGATTATTCATTGTTGAAAAATGATTTTTCAATTGGATAATTTGATTGATAATGTGTAATTGAGAATTTTTTTTTTAAAAAAAAAGGTTTTTATAAAACAAACTTTTATTTAAAACTCAAAGTAACTAATAAACTAAAAGAGAAAAATAATTTATCATACCGCTTAATGTGAGCAAAAGATTAAATTCCCTTTACAAAAAAAATTCATCTACAATTTTATATTGTGAATAATAAAAGTATCAGCACCTAAATAACAAAATCTATTAAGCAAATTGTATTGTCAAAATGATAAGCCATTATTTATTAAGGGCACTCTGCTCTTTTTATTCCTGATATAAAACTGTAGATGAATTTTGTAAAAAAAAAAAAAAAAAAAAAAAAAAAAAAAAAAAATTACTGAATCTCTTGTTCTTTAAATTATGATAAATTAATTTTCTCTTTTTAGTTCATTAATTATTCATTATTGTTAATTATTTATTTATAAAACTATTATTATCAATTATTCATTGATTAATTGTTGCTGGGAAATTTGCATTCCCCATTGCAGCTGTGCAGTGCTGAAGAGTATAAGTTCTATATAATCCTGCAGCAGAAGCCAAAAAGTGTGTGAAGACAATTATTCGAATGCGGTTACCTACAGTGTCCATCATCGAGGTTATCAACATAGCTAGTAGCCATGATTGTCTCCCACGGTAGGGAAATGTAATGTATGGAATTCTGATGTGGAATATAACTATGGAAGACTAGAATGGAAGTAGAAATCTAGCAGAGTGTCCCAGACAACATTTAGTATGCAGCAAGGCATAAAATTGTCGCAGCCAAGTATCTGTCGACCTAAATGAACTGCTAAGTAAACTCAAATGACATAACACAGAAGTTTATACCAGTTGGGTTAATCACCATTATGCATCTTGCATTTTTTCTCACATGTCATAGGCTGACATGCCCTGTTGATCTAATTTATAAAACTCAAGGAAAGCATACATTATAATTTATATTCCACTTACACTAAGTATGCTCCTTTGATAGAAAACTACATTTTCTACTATATATTACTCTCAACACCACCAAAAACCAAACAACAGGCTATGGCAGTTTTTTCAGGTATCCAGGATTTCACTGGAAATATACATCTAAGCAGTCATGTCTGTGGTAGAAAACAAGACAAGCATAATTAATTTTTTCCCCTTGGCTTTACTGAAATTGTCTTCAAATGAAAATGATGAACACAAATATTCGAATTGAAAAACTGGGTACCAGTAACTTTGAAATATGCCATTTCCAAGTGAAAATGATTTTAACCCTCTGACCGGCAAGACCATACATATACGGCATAAAGTATTTTTATATAAAACTTTCTGTAAAAACGTAGTCCAAGAAATTAAGGCAACATATTAAAAGTACATAGGTATAAAGTGCCAGGGTTTTCTTATGGTATTTTTGGGAAATCTGTGCTTTCTTAACGAAACTCCCAGCTGGTCAGAGAGTTAACCCAGTCAGAACTTTTAAGTCACAAGTGGACAGTTAATCAAGCAAGAAATTTCCAGAATTAACCATGCCAAAATTGACAAATTGGTAGTAAAAGAGAAAAAAAACTTTAGCAATTATTGTTCCGAGCATGATATCATCTCAAGTAATGTGCATTAAAATGGGTCAAATTTCACATGAAGCATGAATGAAACAAACAAACAAGATTTAGGCATTCCCTGCTCCGTGAACTCGATCACACTACAGGTCCACTCCCCCTTTGGAAAAAAAAAAAAAGGAAAACCACTCCCACTTTGTGGAGGTTCAACTTCCACTATTACCCTTCCAGGGTAGCAGCACACCACCTGGATAAGACATCAGGCAGCACTGGTCGTCAATTGCTCCTGAAAGTTGCATGGGCAAGCCCATTGCAAAGGGCTGTTACCCAGCAAACCGGGAGTAAAACCCCCCGCCTACGGATACAACTGCTCAGGACATGCCAGACCCCGAGGCCGGCCAATGAGTGACCATTCCCGGGGACTTCAGAACCACTAAGTTCATAAATTTTATACCCCCGTGGCCGAGTAGCTGCACGAATTAGCTTCATCAACCTAAAGGCCCTATTACTACAGTAAGCCTTATGAAGGAACTTCTCTTGAAAAAGATGAAATGCAAATGAAACAATGCAAGATTACCTAACTTCTTTCTTTAGAATTGTAGATAAACTTACAATAATAGGATATGAAATTCCAAAAGAATTCCAAACTATTTTAAACCAAGAAGTTGAAAGTTTTAGAATCACGATAAAATCTTGTGACATACTGCCCGACTTAAAACATACTAAAAGTTAAATTACTAGAAGAATCTAAATATTGGCAATTTAAAATGTAGGAAAACAGTCAAATGCAGCTTGTGTTAGTTAATAAATATCATGACAATGCAAAAGTAATCAAATACTACGGAAATGCAATAGTAAAGTCTACGACTGTGAAAGATTTTGCTTTAATTGTAAGAGAAAAAGACACAAAGTGTCAGAATGTAGAAGAATTAAAAGCAAAAATCTTAATCAAGCATGCACTAAAATAGGCTGTTCTCTCAGCACAATAATACAATGCGAGAATTAGGAACACACATCTTGATTCAAGAACAAATGCACACGTGTGCAATAACAGAAGTAAATTCACATCCGTAAATGAAATCAAAAGTGAAGTTCAAATACAAACAATGAATTTCTAGAAAACAAAGGGAAAGTTAAAAATTTATGCAAATGTCAATTCAGCTTCGCAGCACATAATACTTAATAATGCATTATATGTTCCAAAATCTAAAAATGAAGTTAATTTCAGTTATCATCATTAGCATTATCACAACAACCCCTTGTGGGCCCTGCCTTCTTCAGAAGCATTTCCCATTCCACCCTCCTTTCAGCAACTGACCTCCAATTCTTAATTTTTAGAATAGTAAAATCCTCATCCAGTCAGTCCCTCCATCTTTTCTTAGGTCTTTGATCTTTCACAAACAGAAGTTGCATTAAAAAAGACCTTCATTAATTTCAGTTAACCTAGTGATAGAATATACTCCTTTTAGTTCATTTATTATTCATTATCATGAATTTACCACCAGTCTTAAAGCTTATTTTATAAAAACATTTTTTTATTTTTAAATAAAAGTAATTCAAAGGCTCTCTTCATCTCTCATTACTGGCATCTTTTACTAGTGTTGAGTTTTTACTTCATTCGCCACATTACTCCCTTTTATGGCTTCCTTGTTCTTCAATATGACCAACTGAGTATGCAAATTGAGCAAACACACACAATCAACAAAAATGTGACATTCTTTTCTGTAAATGTAATTACTTTCCTCTTAGACTTCCTCTTCAATACTGGTAATTTACTTCAATCTCATTAAAAATAAATATTTTTAATGAGAAAATATAAAAATAAAAATAAAAAAAGAATGTATAAAGTAAAAAAGATAGGGTAAAAAAATTTAAAAAGCCTACATTTGCCAAAATTCTCACTAAACCAAAGTGATTAGGTAGCGAGAACTTTCAAATGTTTTTCTATTGTTTTGAGAACAAAAAAATTCCAACTTTGAAGTCCAGTGCATATCCCCTCCTCCCTTATCAGAATTAATGAAACTGACTTCAATGAAATACCTGTACATAATGGTCCAAAGCATCTGTTTGAAAACTATGGATATGGTCCTGCTCAAAATGCAATTTTGAAAACTTGTGATAAAAAAATGCTGGCTGAATAATATTTTAAAAAACATTTTATATTAAATATAAAACGAATACAGAATATGAATGAAATTATAAAATAACAATAATTTCACATATATTAATGATGACGTTTCCTTAAAAACAACTGAGTATTTTATAAACTGAATTACACCCTTGTTATTTTTACAAAAATTTTTTACTTTTTATAAAAGTGATAATAGAATTTCATGTAAAGTCCTCCTCCCAAAAAAGGAAGGAAAGAAAAACACATGTTACACATACTCAATAAATAAAAAACTGCTCATTGAATGAAGGCATCTGCTTAAGAAATCAAAAAAGCATTTCATAGTGCAAGCCTGCAGTCACTAATGCTTGAAAGGCACAGCATTTGAACAAAATTTTACTTTACCATTCAACTACCCAATATTAAAATAAACACCAAGTGGCAGAAAATGATACAGTTATACTAAAACAATTACATTTATGCCACACTGAAAAAGGACTTTTCTTACGATATTTCTACCAAGCTCATTTATTCTAATAACTTTGAACATACTTTTGAAATAAAAATTCCGGGCTCTTGAGCACCAAAAGGATGACAGGCATGATCACCACCACCAATTATGCTCAAGCCCAAAGGTCCACCTGCTTTTACTAAACTGACTTCCTAGAAAAATAACATACATATAATTTTAATACAAAAGTAGGAAATAGGTTTTGCATTCAATTTCATTATTTTTAAGCTCAGATTACAACACTAAGCATATGATAATGCAATCCAAAACATATGGTACATAATTAAATACATTCTAAACTTCCCATTAGTGGACATTAGCAGTGCAGGATTTACGTATAAACTAAACAAGCTATAGCTTAGGGTCCTCACTTTCTTGGAGGCCCCCCAAAAGAATAAAATATAGTATAACAAACTTATAAAGGGCCCCATATTTCAAATAGCTTAGGGTCTCATCAAGTTTAAATCCAGCCCCGGACACTAGTGAGTATTGAGAATACGGCTAAGCACACTAGGGCTATCTGCCTAAGGGGAGGGATGCCTTCATGGAGGACTTTCTAAGGGAAACTGTCTCGTATACACGTTACACATGGGAAAAACCATAAAAACACCCATGCAGCCAGCCCGTTCGCGGGCTGGTGGTGCTCGGCCACTGGTGGGCCCTAGGATACTAGTGAGACCAAAGTTTATGTGTTAATAAGCAGCACCTTCTAAAAGAGGATGTAAGGTGTGCTAATTTCAAGAAATGTTTATTAACGGACTGTTAAAGTGTAAAGTACAGACATTAACACGTTCACGCCGTAGCGGGCCACCTTCATCAGGTGGTGCATACCTAGTCTGTCTTATCAGGCGGCACATGCCGCCGTTGGTACGCATTCGATTGTCCTATTAGACGCTGAAAATTAAACTAATGAAAAATTACGTTTATTTATTGTAAAAACTTTTTAATAACAATTATAATTAATAATTATTAGCAAACATACAACTCAGATACAGGTCTGAACAGGTAATAATCGTGTGCCACCAGATGAAACGCGGCAAAAATTCGAGCGCCGTCTCATGGCGAAGAACATAAAAATTGGCCCCAGCGTGAACGTGTTAACAAACATAGGTTTGACTGCAATATGATGTATATGATACAGATGAATCTTTTTGCATTTTATTTTTGTATTGTATGCACATGCAATACAAAAAATAAAATACAAAAACATTCATCTAATTAGGAACAAATATGAAAAAACATTGAAAATCAATTTTAAGAAACAATGTCACCTTTACCCCATTTGTGACAAATAAAAAAATTATAAAAATAATCCTTCTAGTTTCTTATTTGTTGATGCAATTATGTACAAATTCATGAAATATATTTCAGCCATTTTGTTCGGTAATGATATTTACAATAACCACACATTATGTGAGAAATATTAAAATTTCTATTGAAAACACTGAAGGTTTATTAACATATAATTATATATAATATGCTATGTATATTTATTATTAATATATTTATTTATTGTAATAAATATACTGAATTTTTGTTTACAAGAACTTAGGAATTGATCTTTATGAATTCTTACCAAATATTTAAAATAATACTATAATCCTTAAATTTCCATAAATATATGATTTTCCATTACACTTTTACACAGTAGCAATATTTTCTGCATATTTTTAACCCCTACCCCCCCAAAATCATAAAAATGTATAAAACTCTTACAGTTACCAATTATCTAATTTTCATATCAAAACATGAATTATAATTTTTCAGAAATTGCCTTATCTAATAGAATTAGTACTATCTTATGAGCTAATCAAATGGTCATGAAAAAACTGGTAGAAACATAAACAAAATATTCTTGTTCACATTACTTATTTAGAGGTGGCATATGCTATCTATTTACCTACCATTTTCATTTGCTAGCACTGTTGTATCTACCATTTTCATTTGCTAGCCCTGTTGTATCTACTGCTTTCATCTGCTATACCTTTTGAAATATACATATATGGTATTCACATGTGCATAGCAGCAGAAATGGCATGCAGCCAGGTACATGTCAACTCTACCAACTACACTACAAAAGATTTATCAATTTTTTTACAACAGTATGAATGATGTGATTTGTATTGCATGTAATAACAGTCTGAAAATAAATAAAACTTGTTTATCTTTTTTTACAACACCCAGCACAAACAATTCACCAAATTTTTAAATTCTAACATTACATAACTATAAAAGAAAACAGTAAAATATAGCTGGTTTTGGTTTATTTAATTACGTCAAAGCACACTAGGGCTATCTGCCTAAGGAGAGGGATGCCTTCATGAAGGACTTTCTAAGGAAAACTGGCTCATATACATGTTACACATGGGGAAAACCATAAAAACGCCCATGCAGACAGCCCGTCCGCGGGATTCAAACCTCGGACCGAACTCCCAGTGTTCAGCAACTTTACCGCTCGGCCGCTGGTGGGCCTCAATAAAAATATAGAGATTATTATCTAATAGAAATAATCTTTCTTTTTCTTTTCATAAAAAAAAAAGTCATTTTTATGCAACTGATAAATTTAATCTTACTCTTCTTGCAATTCTTACTGCTTTCAATTTCTTACTCAGCACTAGATGATAAACTACAAGAAGCCCAAACCAAAATGTTACACAAAGGGGAAAAAAATGGCTTTAGAGGCAGTAAGTACTTTTAAATATATTTTAACTGTAGTACAGATGCCAACAATCCTTATTCAAAACTGTTTAGAAGACCAGTGATATTAAAAAATGGAATTTTAATCATAAAAAGATGGTGCTTTTGTCCAATAATATATCTAATTAACAGCTTGCCAATCTATATTGATGGTATGATGACTGCAGCAAAATACAGCTGGATATAATCTTTTTTGCTTGTTTAGCAAACAGAAAGATAACAAAAGTAGAATAGACTGCCTACAGCATACTACGTATCATACGTTGTCTAGTTTTCATAGTAAATACAGATAATACTGTAAATAAACCAGATGTGCAGGCAACTTACCTACTAAAACTAAAACATAGCATTTCTGAATGTGGTCCTTTCAGGTACAACAAAGGATTTCATAAAGGAAAGCTTTGCATCATGGGTTAAAATAACAAGAATAAACATAGTACTTCGAAAAGTTGTTCTGTAGCAAGAGATTTCACTAGATTATTTGCCATTTGATAATTTTACCAATAATATATCTAAATGAACTTGTGACTTTTTATGCTCAATTACCCCCCCCCCCCCCAACTACTGGCCATTTGATAATTTTACCAATAACAAATCTAAGTGAACTTGTTATTTTGCTGAATTTTTCCCCTTTAATCTTCATTTTATTTGTTTGCTGCTTATTATAATAAATAAGTATACTCAATACCACTTTCTTTACACAACACACAACTGAGACATAAGAGGTGCACATGCACCACTTTCTTTTTCTAAAATGCAAGCAGTGTAAACATTTTTATACATGTATATATACACATACAGTTATATATAAAAATGTGTACCATCTTTTTGCATCAGCCATTAAATATGGGTTTTAAATATACATAAACAGCAAAACTTCAGCAAAAATTCTAAATATAAAAAGGTTAAAATAAATTCTTCTGGAATTAAATTTCTAATAAAAAGAAAAATTACCTCAACATCTCCACTAGAATTAACATGATTTACACAATTGATTTTTGCATAGGCACTAGTTTCATTCTCCTTTATAACAGGATCAACTTTTTCATTTTTATCTACATCAACATTATTAGATACTGTATTTGCATTACTAACAGGTGCTTTGCTAGAAGAATATGTAGAAATGGGCTCCAAGCTGATGGGATCATTTCTCAGTCCTGGAAGTTTTGTATACAGTGAAAAAGTAGGCTTGGCATCAGATGATGATAATTCAGGGCGTCTATAAGACCCTGTGTATGAGGGCCTGTTAGCCATATATGAACCAGAAGAATAAAACTTTGGAGTATATGGGCGTGGAAGTCCAATAAGTTTGGGAGACTTTTGGGCAAGTAAAGAAGAAGATGAAAGGGATATGGATGACTTTTCTGGCAGATGAGGAGTATTAGGATCACGTGGTACAAGCTGAAAAGAAAAACACCAAATAAATAATTTTCACTTATTAAATATACTTACTAAGTGCATAAGGAGATGGGAGCAAAATGCATACCTTTTGACGTTGAACTACAAGGCGAACAAAACGATCTAAGCCACTTAAAAGGGACACAGCTTGATCTTGTCTTGCACCTTCCATATCAACTCCATTTATTGTAAGAACTTTATCTCCCACTTGTAGCTTCCCATCTTTTGCAGCAGCACCATTTTCAGATATTTTTGTGATATAAATTCCCTAATTTCCAAGCAAAGAGACAAAAAGATGTTACCAATATTTGTTCTACATTTACTGAAGCTATTACACTTTTAAAATTAATTATGTTTAAGACACTATGTTTGCTAATTGACACAAACACAACTTCACACTTTTAGGCATATAAAAAGTTATATGTATATATATATATATATAAGACATAACAAAATATGATGGCTGCTTTAAGAAATGATTGCCGACCTCAAAATTAACTATTCTAGATTTTATGTCCCCCCCAAATCATTTGTTCTCCCAAATTTGAGATCTTTCCATGCTACATAACAACCTAAAATTAATCAATGACAGATTAGTTGTACATATGCATCATACTTAGTATAAATACTCTTTGCAAAACAACTATCTCATTCCTTTTCCTAGCTTCCACCATGCTGACAACTCTGCACTGCTATTCTTTTCAGTCTAAGATGCCTACGTCATACTTAACTAGGATTGGATAAATGCCTTGTCTACCAAAAAGTGATTTGATATGAATTACCATGCAATAAAGTTGTGTTTAGAAACAGCCACATCTGCAAGATACTGGTTTCTTCATCATCTCCCTAACCATGCACCTAAAATACTATAAATATATATTTCCAAAGCATCTCAAAGGAAAGATTTTAGAGGGTAGTGGACATTTAGACCCATACAGTTATACAGTCATAATTATATTTACTAAATCCCTCATTAATTAAATTTTAGCTGTGAATGTTTCATTCTAATTTTAAAAAATAGAGTTTCAAGAAAGAATATTAAATTCTGGAAGAAATTATCATTCTGCAAAAGAAACATAAGAGCACATCATTCAAAATATGTTTAACACGTTAAAGCCCAGCCTGTTTTAACTTGCCGTTTTGTTCACGCCCCAGTCAGCAGGCCACTCTGGGTAGCTTGCCAATAGGCGAACCAGAGTTGGATGGCTTGGGTAACATAACCCAGCTTAAGGACCGGGGCTTGTCTTCATACATTTTCCTCTCCACTTGCAAATAAGCTGCCTCAGGAGCCCTGACATTTCCCAATCATAATAATATTTTGAATCTGTATCTCGAGTTTGCTCACAGTCCCCTCTCCTGGGTAGAATATAAGAAAATTAAACACAAGACCTAATGGCACCCAAATGCCTAACGAACCCTCAGTTACACGCAAGTCATAGTCCAATTTCGTCATTTCAAAACTTTTCAGGAATTTTTTTGTTGACCAGAAATTCTGAATTTTGTTGGCCTGAAAATAAAAGCATTAGCAAGTGATACATCATGCAAACAAATTTTACTGCTTAGATGTCATCAACATGATGCATTGCACTCGTCTGAAGATGACAGTTGTGACTGAATGAGCATATGGATAATAATACAACAGGTGATCAGGAATGGTTTAATCCAACAGGAAATCAACCTAACATTACAGCCTTTATGGGTACATGTGGTGCTGAGATAAATAATATCGAAATGCAGAAATAAAGAAGAAATAAAGCGCTTATTTAGGCTATTATCTGGATGGAATTGGTCAAATATCCATGCATAACTTTATACTGATCCAGGGATACTATATATTATCATTGGTTCCCACACAAAGTAATGAGCAGGAATTGAACAGAGATCATTTAGAGGATGTTTCATTTTGCAACAGTGAAACAGCTAATGTTCCCCCAACTGTTTTTAGAAAATCCATAAACAGTTTTCTGCAGAAAGATATATGAAAAAAAGACTGCCTACAGATCAATGTTAAATTAAATTTGCTGCTCTTACCTTATATAGCAGTACTCTAGTTTTCAAAGTATGTACTGTAAATAATTTTTTTTTAATTAATCATTCTATTTTGTTTCTTTGTTACTGAAACATTTCATATAAGAAATACATTTCTTATGTTTCCAAAAACTTTGCCACAGTCAATATGCTAATGCTAATGATGAAAATATGTTTCTCATTACATGGCTCACATAGAATTTCTCATTACATGGCTACAGAAAATTGCTCAGCACATAGTGTCCTATGATACAAAAGATCCAGTTTTAATTTTCTTCCATTTAGGCCCCCCCACCAAAAAAATCAGCAATTCTTTTTACTTCCTTGACTTTGCACTATTTCTCGGGTCTTTCTAAATAAGTCAAAATTCTTAACAACAACAGTATTAAAAACAGATCATACAATTAAAGTTAGTATTTCAAAATTAGTCAATATTTCACTTTTATTAAGGAATTAAAAAGATACAACGTGAAATTCTGAAGAAAGTATTTCAGTTACATACATCTCCAGTTTCTGCTTCATCCCTACTAGAAGATATACTTAAACCAAGTCCATTCTGCTCTCTAATCAGGGTTGTATGCAATATCTGGAGGGAAAAAATATAGAACATGCTTTAACAGACGGATTTTAATACATAAGTAAAATGAAATAGCCTATTACAATGATCACTAGTTCATCTACATACAACATGAGATTCAAATTCTGAGCTTTGATTATTATGATTTCAATGTACTAGATAATACATAATTTCATGAATTTTGAAATGATTCTTGATATTTATTTCTCAAAATTGAAAATTACAGAAACAAAATAGAAATGGACTAGGAAATTCCCTGCATAGAAATCACCGATTCAGATAGAAAACAGGATAAAACCACTTATTTTCACAATTGCAAATAATGTTAAATCTCTAGAAAGTAGTGTCAAATTTATAACTATATTAAAAGGTAATAATTATATATGAAAATTAATAGTATAATTATATATGAAATAAGGTAAGGAATAGGGTAATAATTATATATGAATAAGGTAAGGAATAGGGTAATAATTATATATGAAAATTAATATCACTCCAGAAATTTTAAATATAAAATCTAAAATAAAAGCAACATTGTGCAAAATGTAACACAGAAAAGATTGCTATTATAGGTTTTAATCAATGATCAGATAAAGACAATACTTACTGCATGCAATATTTCAATTAATATTTTTATAAGAGCTTTAAGATACAAAAAGTCTGCTCAATTCTGTTAGTTTGTAAAGGTATACCAAAGATACAAAACAAATGCAAATATTTTTTATATATGAAATAGTGCAATAAGTAACAGAAAAAAATTCTTCTTTAATTCAACATCTAATCTGCCCCCCTTTTTTTAAACCTTTTCTTGATTTAAATTGATTTTATTTTCACATTTGCATGCACACATAATAAGCAGATTTACATACCTCATATTTGATATCAAATTCTCCTGATCCAGGCTTTTTAAATAAAGGCGAAGCATTTTCTGTACTGTTTGCAAGTGGCTCCTCTTCTTTTGGAATATTAATTGTCAGATTTAATTTATTTTTTGATGGTGTATCAGCCTGCGCTTTCTCTGATGCTGCATTTTTATCATTCTGTACAAAATTTACATTTGCATCATCAAGAGAATCCACATTTTTCACCTGTTTAGAAGTCAAATGATCATTCAATTTTTGAGAAACTTCCCTCATGATTTTAACTTCTTGAGAAGCAGGATGATCGGTTTCAGATTGACTTCCATTTTCAATGACATCTGTATTTACAAGTGATTCTAATAGCAACTGTAAAATACATTTTGAACAATTATATAATTTTGCAATAGCATAATAACTACTTGATTAGTCATCTAAATTTGATTTTGAAATAAAAAAAGTTCAATAATAAAATAGAATAAAAATAAATTAACAACTGAAATTACAAAATTTTAGACATTTAAATTCTTTACAAAGAAAAATAATTTTCTTTTAATTTGTTTCAGACACTATACAATTTATCTACAATACAAAAAAATTTTAGCATTGAATTCAACACATCAACATTTGCTATAAACATCTTTTACTTTTTATGCATGGGTACAGTGTTTTGACTCATGTTAAAAAGTAGTAAGAGAGATTTTATAAAGTGAAAACAAAAGCAATTCTAAAACCTCAAAATTTTTTTAATTCAACTTGTTTTTTAAAAAGCATTTCTAACACCTCAATATTTTTTTAATAAACTTATTTTTAAAAAAATTGCTGGCAAGTTTCCTAATGGCCAATTCAATATTCTAAACTAACAAAAGCTTTTTCTTACAGGTCAAATCCGAGTTTTTATCCTAATTTAGTAAAAACAAAATTATATATTAACTCACTCAGCTATTACGGCATAATTGTATTGTTTCAAGAATGCTTAGGGTTTCCAAATATAGGCTTAGACTGCATGAATAGTCAATAAATCTATCAATTCTTTTTCTTTTGACAAAAGCTAAGAACCAAAATTATTACAGTACATAAAGATGTTATGTTTTGATTTTATGTGTTAATACTGTGTTTAATTAAAATATATAAGGCAATAATCATTGCTTAATTACATTTATTTAACTTTATACAATGCAGTCTATTAATTTTTTGTTGATAAAATAACATATCAGTAAAGTATGTTATGAGAATACTGGAGAAAGATATGGGGTACTTAATAATTAAAAAGTCTTAAAATTAATTTTTTTAAATTGTTTTTTCTTTTCAAATTTTTCAACAGAAGAACAGTTGCAAAATTTGAACTTCATATATAGCAGAACTAGTCAACACACAGAACTGATTCTATTAGCTCAGATAAATCCCAGTGTGAGTACTCTTTAAGTAGTTACACGAAAAAAAAAAAAAAAGACTGGGAGACTATGACTGATAAGTTTCAATGCAAAATGAAAAATAGATTACAGGGAACTTTACCTAATACATTTGATCTCTACAGATTTATGAAGCATTATTAAAATAATATGCCATGAATGCAAAAAAAAAAAAAAAAAAAAAAAAAAAAAAAAAAAAAATGAGATACTCACTTTTTCAGGTGGCACTACAGAATCCCTTCTTATTATCATAACCATTGTATCACCAGCAGTCTTTAGAGCATCAACAGCATCAAAATGAGTTACCCTTTTTAAATCTTTCTCGTTGACCTAAAAAATGTAAATACAAATTATCTACTTAGTCTATATACGCACATATATTTGAGCAGTTATATGCATACTAATTAAGTAGTTCATCACACATATTATTCCTGGGTACTTTTAATGTTTCCAATATTTGCTGAAGATTTGTCTTTGGATAATTAGATAAGTACTGGGAGTGTTGCAAGTGCAGAAAACATATTTAACCAGGGATGACTCTGGCTACCCTGAAATCGCAAGCCTTCAAAAATTATTTTAGAAAGTCCTTTCTTGTTTTTGTTTTGCTTCGTTCATAATTTACACCAAATATATATTCATTAGAAAACTAGTTCATTATTATAATGCAGTTTTATCACTCACAGGTAATTTATTTTGACTGATTAAATAATTTATTAGTATGATATTAGGTAATCGGCAACTACTTGAAATTCAGATTTGATATTTCTATCGCAGAATCCTCTTTCTCTATAATATGTATACATATTCATACATATATTATGTATATACATATATATATGTTATGTATACATAAACTTGTTCATGAAAACATAAAGGAAGTATTTAATAATATGAATTTCTCTAGACCAAATTCAATTTATGAAATATTTTATGCTTACATAAATAAGTATAAATCTATAATAATAATTATATTTTACTGCAAATTCAAACGTGTTAAAAATCAGTTCTGTTTTATAATTCGTTCTTCATATTTTGTTATATGATGATGTCGTGTCTATGACAAAGTGCAACTATATAGCTCCGAAGTTGTCAAAGACAGCTTTTGCAACCTCGGCAGCTCTATCAGTATAAAGTAGGTCCACTGGGTCTTCAATGCCGAAGTTAAACAGTCTGGCCTGAAGATGTGATGGCGAGACAGTGGGATATCATCTGGGCAATGAGGACAAATGTTGGTGTAACCACGCTGTCCGTCTGCAGAAATCCTCATCCCTTTTAAGTGATTTGTCCTAAGTCTGGTTAGGATAGTCGATATGGCTCTGTCACAGTTCAATTCCGGGATGGAGTTTCCTTTAAATTGACCGATTAGTCTTTGGCTGGCAACTGCATTGGCATCAACGATTTTGTTATATATATTATATAATAAATGTTTCACACACACATACAAATGAAATTTTGTTTCATAATTGCAGGAACCATACAGCAGACCAACCCATGAGTTATCTCATGATCAGAAGATACACTGATAGACAGACAATAGCATAGCGAGTTATTTTTGTCACAGATGCATTAGAGTGGATATGACTTGTGCAAGAGAGAACATCTGTCATGATAAAGTTATTTTACATCATGTTATGTTTATATAAGATTCAGAAAAGCGTGTTGAAACAGCAACAGAAAATATTCACGATATGAGAAGACTGTTGAGAGCTGACAACTGAACAATCTACCAGTAATTCAGCGTTCAAAGAAATCTAGATTTACTTCCAAGCTTTATGGATGGGTGTCACACCGTTTGACAGAAAATGACAAGTGAGCTGAGTTACAAGCAGGGCTGTGGAGTCGATAGGGAAAATGACCGACTCCAACTCCTGGAATTTTAATGACTCCGACTCCCTCATATATACACACACACACACACATCGGTTACAGCTTATTTTTTTAATATAAAAGAAATAATACATGCTACAGAAAAAAATTTAACGTATAGCAAATTATTTATATTAATTAGCATTTATTATGAAATGGAAAAATTGGCATTAGTTATTTCTAAGAAACAGCACAGCTTCTTTGTTGGATGGCCATACATCCGATTTGATAAACTTCAGAGCTGAGAAGTCTTTCCACACTAACTTGAGTAGGGGGAAGAGCTGTTACTGTTAGGGCTACTTCTTTTAACTTTTCAGGAGAGATTTTTTAAAGTCTAAAAGAGGTGTCTTGCAAGTGCAATCCTATTTCTCCATTTCTTCAAAGACCATGTAGAAATCTTGTTTGTATTTTTTCATTTTTATATCTAAAGGCTCTTGTTTTTTTATTTTCATTAGCTTTGCCTTAGCCTCTTCAATATTATCCAAAAATATTTCTCAAAATCTAATTCATCACTGGAAGAGGATGATAGAGACTCTGCAGTTTGACTGTCCTGATTTGAATTCTCCAAATGTTCCGAGAATAATTTCATTCTTAACCTTTTAACTGTCATGCCTGAAATAATCTCGGGCACAGCACTGGTATTCCAAAATGTCATGCCCGAGTATTACTCGGGCTAATATATTTTTGAGAGCATCGTATTGTTATACCCGAATATATACTGTGAGAAGTTTATTTCGGAGTTATTATAGTTCAACAGATGGCAGCATTTTACTGAAGGTTTCAAAGGATAAAGTTCAAAGTGCGCGGCATGTTTTTGACTGCGAAGTAAACATTTCATTTTTGAAATAAATAAATAAATAAATAAAAAATTGACAATTTATGCACCTAAATCATCAAAATACCTTGACAGTTAAAAGGTTAACGAAAGTTCATAGATGACTTTCTTTGCCTTTTTAATTTGTTCGTCATCCAATAAAATTTGGTGTTTCGGATCTCCATATATTGAACCCAGCAAGATCTCAATGTCTAGCAAACTAAGTTCTATTTTCTTCATTGAAGAAATGATTCCTTCTGCAATAAACCCTCCATTTCAGAAAGAGCAAACATCCCATCCTCGCCTCCTGTCAATTCTTCAGATTGCAGCTTTTTTGTGACTATACAAAAAAGAGTTTCCAATTCTGCCAAGATTATTCCACAGTCTTTCTGTTAGTGAAACATTAGGGTTATCTACACATCCTGAAAAAGTTCTTAATTCTAAAAACCTCTTTATCATCAAATATGTATATCCTTATCTCGTTGCTTGATCAATAATTGCTCCATTTCCTGCTTGCTTCCTAAAAATGGCATCAATTTTAGGAGTTCTTGCTGCTATTGCTGCTTAATTAAATTTACCAGCGAGATTTGTAACTAATTGAATCAGTTTAATCACTAATGGCAAATATCACATCCATTCTCCTCCCTTATATATATATATTTATTAATAGGTCAATAAAATAGAGAATAACTATATATTAATGTATACGACTCATAAAAAATAATAACTCAGCTTGTCATTAATTCTTTCAATTTATTTTGATTTCATTTTAAATTCAAACTGTCCAACAAAAACTGGAATCGGAGTCGACCTGTTTTTAGTGACTCCTACTCTAACTCCTTTTACCCCAAAATCTGTCCGATTCTGACTCAATGACTCCAACTCCACAATCCTGGTTACAACTACCCTTAAAAATATGAAAATCAGGAAAATTTCATGCAGCGCATTTATATGCCTTTAAGAAGACTCACTTTATTAATGCATAATTTGAATAAGTAAACTGGTTGTAACACAATTCCCAGATAAAATGTATTAACCTAATATTTAGTTAATAACTAAATTTTATTTCATATTCTTGGCTAGTTTTATTCAGTTTTGAATAATGTTATACTTATGAAAACCTAAATAAGAAAGAAAATTTTTTGTTTACAAGATGGCTTTTAAACATAATAAAAATCAAAACTGTTATTTAACTGCATATAACAGCTTAAATAAATTTAGAACCATATCATTTAAAGCAAAATTAAATACCAATATTTACCTAATAAATATTAGCTGTGTCTTCATGAAATGCTTTACTACTGTGCAAATGGTTTGATATGGTGATGATAAACAATTACTTTCGGATCAAATACTGAACACAACTGAACATCGAAACATATTCTTTCATCCTTTTTTTAACATAGCAGTAGCATGACATATACAAAAAATAACGATTTTGCAAGTGAATAAAATCATCTCTTCCTTTCAAACAATCCCTATATGCCCCTACATTCAAAATACAGTCATAATTACAAAAGAAACAAATCTTTCTATAATAATATTTTTACTTACTGAGAGTATTTTATCTCCAACTTTTAAACCTGCGCTTTCTGCAGGTCCATTGCTTATCACTTTAGAAACAAAAATACCCTAAAAAGAAAAGCACTTTATAAAGAAAAATATAATAACATGTGGGGGGGGAGAAATTTTTCACAAATGGTATAAATATACATGCACATACAACAATTCAAACATCTTGAATTTTTAATAATATAAAAAATTTTAACATTTATTTGTACTAAATGTAATTATACTGCATAATGTCAGAAGATGGCTAGGGAATACAATTCATTTTAACATAATATTTAAAAATCTAATAACAGCATGCATAGACTTGATTACCAATTCCTAACACTTTAAAAGCTTTTTATATACATTTCTGACAACGCAATAATTAACAATATTGTTGGATTTAGCATCTCTGAATATTCAAAATCCGTGAAACTAACAGTAATAAAGTATAATGTAAACAATATCATATTTTTAAATAAATAGTTTTCCTCGTGAATATTCAAGCTATCTGCTGATTCAAGCTGAAGGGCTATCTGTCTATGGGTAAAAAGGGGTAAAGTTTACACATCAGGAAAACCATAAAAATTTTCATGCAGTTGGGATTTGAACTTCCAGTGTTCAGCCATCTTACTTACTCAACTAGTAATGAGTCTATTCATTTTAGATTAGAACAAAGATAAAAATCTGGGAGACCAAAGTTTGGACTGCAGAGTGCAAGAGGCAAAATTTTTCATGGTTACCTTTTTAGTAATAAGTTGCTGCTTTCAATATATGCAATCATGAAAAATGGAAGAGATGAAACTAAGCAAGTTAGATTAGTTGGAATAAATTTCTATACAATATCTGAAGAAATCATTGCAATAAACTGTTGCAACAGCATTTCTACTCTGTACTGTTCAATATGGTGTGATGGTGATCACACATACTGATTATTTTCTCCTGTTTTGTTTTCAGTTGATGGGTTTCTTCTTCCTACTGTTTTGGGAAGGAAAATGTTCTCAACTCATGTTAACTATGATTTTAATTGAAGCTCCCAGCTGTTCATCAATATTGCCATTACACAATTTCTCAATTCAAATCCAAAAATGTTCATGCATTATATACAATAATAATAATATACTACTGCTACTGAAATTGGTTATTATTTATATTTAGTATGCTAGCATTAATATAAACATCAGAGTATTTTGACAAATAAACAAAATTATATCCTTGAGAAAAATAAAATTACCTACCTCATCATCATCTTTATATGGTGTAGATCCTATACCACCAGCTATGCTTAAACCTAGACCAGATGCTGTCTTTCTGATAATGATCTCCATTTCACATTCTGGTAAATCAGCTGATTTGGGCAAACCTAAATAAATAATGTGATATGTATGTTATGAATACACAAATAAATTTTCATTTCCAATAAATACAATATTCAGCTTAATTATATGCTGCATATTAATAATTCACCAAAAGCTATGTTAGAAGTTAAATTACATACATTTAGAAATATCTAAAAATAATTTAAATGAACATAATGCATTTTAGAGTAAGTTTACTGCATAGCCATGCTTTGAATTCTATTATGACAATAAAATTATATTCAAGCCATGCCTATAAATAATCCCTTTCCTAAAAATAATAATACACACTGCTTCCAAAGAAAGCAGTTTCATAAAAATCAATAAAATAGAATTAACAATTTTTACGTCATTATAAAGCATGGCACTTAGCAGCCAAAAGATAAAATATTTATCAAAGTAAATAACTGAATAAATTTCACATTATGGAGCATTTCTTTTCAGCAATCTCTCCGGGATCTACTACAGAAAGGTATTTTAGTGGGTTTTTACATTTGTTCATGGACATGTTGGGATATATGGAAATGACAAAGCTGATTGGCTTGCAAAGAATGCAACTAAAAAAAGACGTTTATATTAATGTACATATTTCAAAATTGTACATTCAAAACTAAAATGATTGAACAATGGAACTATGATTATATCACTTATGATAGGGAAATACTACAGAAAAGTTCTTTCTAACTATTTTTGAAAGACTGAAAAATAAGAACTTATTGATTGCTCAATTTTAACATTATGCAATTTTTGCTTGGGCATGGAAAGTTTAATGTCTATTTTAAACAGTTTAAACTGTCATCTTCAAAGTTATGTTATAATGATTTCAGTATTCAGCAAGTGTTTTCCACTTACTTTTTGACTGCCCTTTGCTTAATTATGCAAGAAATTTATTGAAATGTAAATTGAAATTAATTGTGCAAGTGTTTTCCACTTACTTTTTGACTGCCCTTTGCTTAATTATGCAAGAAATTTATTGAAATGTAAATTGAAATTAATTGGCAACCGAAATGTCATGACTTTGTTTCTCTGCCTCTGGCCTACTTCACTTTTAATGACTTTGCTGACTCTTATTTTAAATACTGCAAATGATTTTCATTGTATGCAATTTTTTTATTTTAAAATCACATCTATTTGATTTATTCGTATTACTAAAAAATATCTTCTCTTAACTTGCATTTTTTAAGCCTTGTGTGATACTTTGTGTTGCATGATTTTTTTTAATAAAAAAAAAGGACATTTCTTTTAAATGCAGAACATGGATGCATGAAAAGGGCTGGTCATACTAAGCAATAGGCCGCCACCAACACCATACGAACAGAGCTCAGTAAAGATGCTCACAACAACAGTTGTTGTATGGCAGAGATATCAAACTAGCAGCCCACAAATGCATTTCAATTATTTATTTGTTCCAAATATTTCAATATTTTAGTTATGCCCAAGTTTACATTATTATCATTGCCACTGAAAATGAATATGAATAATGCACCAAAAAATCTGAAAGTGGAGCTAATTACTTTGCAAAATGATATAAATGTTATTCAGAGATTTGAAGATACAGATTTGATTAATATTTATCTGTTTTTGTCAAAAAATAAATAAGCTCAGTTATGAATTTTTGCACTAAAAATAATCTCTATTTAAGAACGCATTTCTAGGTGAACCGCTTTACTTCACAGTTGAAAATTAACAAAAAAAGAATGTGATTTATCAATGACCACCTATAACAGTGTTGCCAGAAATTTTTCAACTAAAGTAGCAAGTCTCAAAAAGTCACAAATGGCATCAGAGATAACGTGATTTTGCTACATCATAGTTACGCATGCTCATCATGCACCTCTGACATCACCACAAATTTATCATCCATTCGTTCTGTAAGTTACAGACTGTATTCCATTCAAGATCTTTTTAATAATGTATCTTACTTAGCTTTAAAGAAAATTTTAAAACTATATTGCTTATTTTCAATTGTTTAAATATTCATTTCTTTCTTAATTAATTCTTGTTTAATTTAGGTTTCTATTTTTAAATTAATTTGTGCATATCCATTCTTAAGAGATTCCTCATGTTTAGACTGTTAGCACTTTTATACTAAATGTTTTGAATTGGCAGTTAATTGATTTTAAACCTTTTTTTCTTCCCCTTAATTGTGAACATTTTAACTGAGGAATGCTTTTCAGTGAGATTTTCCATTCTGCATGGTAGATTTATTTCAGCATTCTGATTACTTAAGAAAGCCTTGTTCGTTCACTGTTAAATTTATTTGTGTTGTTATTTAGAAATTGCCTTTGCTTTGATTTTTAAGTCAGACTATTGCCATTTTAAGTTAGGCCATTGTTTAGTTCTTAAAAATATTATAATTAGGAGAACGAATTTTATTTCTTTCTCTGTTTGTGCACCCAATATATGGTGTGCAAGCTACAAGTTCTTTTGTTTGATTCATCATCACCATAGAACTCGAGGTGGGTAATTGACTTGAAAACAAAACACACACGGGACGAAGGGGGAAAGGTGAGACATCCCGAATCACTTTTTTCCCTTTTATTTTCCATTTTCCCATGCAAATAAAAGCCCAGATGCAAACAAGAATGGCAGATGCCAACTTCTATTTAAGCCTAAATAAAATACTTTTTTTTAAAATATAAATTACATTTAATTGATACATTATTTTAACATAAAAGCATTGTACAATATATTTCTAAAAAAACTTTGAAGTCACAAAACTAGCATAAGAAAACGATGGAAGTCACAAAATTGCATATACTAATATTTTAGTAGCACAAGCTTGTCAAAAGTTACAAATTTGCGAAAAACCACACGATCTGGCAACACTGATCTAAAGCTTGTGAAGAAGATAATTTTGGTAATTTCTTTCCAAGTCCACAAACTTTATCGGAAATAAAATAACAAACAACATCAAGTATCTAGCTGTAGTAAAAAAATAAACAAGTTTATAATTATTTATAAACAACATGCATTTTGATTTAAGCATTGAAGAAAAATTTAATAAAAGAGAGACAGCCATTAGTTATTTTTATGTTTTGTCCCACTTGGAAATTTTGTCAGAAAACTTAGAACGTTTTTACAATTTCTTTATTTTTAGTTTAATTTAAAGTAAGTTATTTAATGATTAACTACACATAGTAGAATTGATTGAAATAATTTCCAATCTGAATATTTAATATTTAGCTGTCACTATGTTTGAATAATAAAGTGTGATAAATAAAATAGCTCTATGGTACCAAACTTTAGATTTCAGACAGAAAATAAATTTTAATTTTTTGCATTATTATTACTGTTTATATAAGTTTTGATAAATATTTAATTAACCATTAATTTAAATATTTATTTTATTCATAAAAAAATTTTATTTCGTTTAAAAAAAAATTCTGCCATCTCAGATGTTTTCAGATTATGCATTGGGTCCACATGAAATATGAGTTTGAGAACCACTGATATAAGGTAGTAATCAGTAGAACCAAGGCCAAATACAAGTTCGGCAGGCTCAAACTGTCCCAATAGCATCACTGTCCACAATTCAATGTGCTACTGCCTCTTCCATACCACTAACTGCACCTTCCACCATCTCGTGCTGTTCGACTGAAACGGGTTGTGCTAACAGCAGACTTTAACTCCACATCAACAGCAGTGATTTTCAACAGGTGGTAAGCATACCACTGATGGTACACAAGAGAAACAAAGTATTTTTAACAATTAAATTCAAAAATTAAATACCCCCAAAATCCTGGAAAAATTTATGGGATCACTCTGAAAGAAACAGAAACTACCTAAAATGTTTAAAAATTAGCAAAAAAAATGGGAATTTTAGGAGATGCAGGTGTTAATCAAATTCTCACTGCACATGGATGGTTCCCTGTTTACTTAAAAAGCTTCCACCTCCAGGAAAATGATATATGTAAGGTTTGTAATAAATTCGGCGATTCAAAGCATTTCGTCGAGGACTGTTGCCTGACTGGAAGTGTGAGAGAAAAATATAAATTTGCAAAGTTTGAGGATTTATTTAGTAATTATAAATTGTTTAGAAAATTTGCAACAGATATTATGCAAACGGTGAAAGAGAATAAGAATAATATTGGTATCGAGATATAACAAAGCAGAAATAATTGAGGTAACTTACAAATTTAAGATGAATTTGATAATATAAAGAAGATTTGAATAATAATAACTAATTGAAAGTAAAACTTATAAAGATTTTAAACTTCAGAAAAAAGAAATGGAAACGACGCATTTATATACTAATTCACCGAGAGTGCTTGGAATGTATGTATCTACTTTACAGGTTTTTTTTTTTTTTTTGGGGGGGGGGGGTATGCCTTTGTGGTTTGGCCTGTCCTCTCATAGCCATATGGCAGGTTTCGCCTGCTAGGTGGGCTGGGGGCCAGTGCTTAAAACTAACTAACCACCAAAATCCTGTTTAAGTTTTTTCTCTAACACTCGTAAGTATATGCGGTCTCAGCTTTATTTAAAGTCAATAGAATCTCACAGACTTTAGCAAAATAAACCATTTTTATTTCACAAATATTCTTTTAGCCACAGACACACAAAATTTGTCATAAATGATGTTTTTAAAAGGAGTAGTAGAAATGGAAGTTGTATTTAATAGAAAATAAAAATAAGTTCTCATAAAAAGATAATAGCATCTTATTAATTCTTTAAGAGTTTAGAGATTTATTAGCTACACTTTATTCCGCCACTACTTCCGTGCTCATATTGCTCTATTTTCCAATAGAATCATTTTTTATGGCGACTTGCTGTACCTAACAGCAGGTATTTTGTCTTCTTGTTGCTTTGTATTCCTTACTTTTCTACACGATTTGAGAATATCGTCGATTGTTTTTGAAGAACAATTAAATATCTTGAGCATTTAAATATTTGTGAAAAAATAATAAAACTAAAATATATTATAATATAAAACTAATTCTTAAAATAGAAAACTAGCTAGAATTGACTAAGAAGAAAAGTGATTATTCACAGGTGATGGATCTAGGATAGTGTACTAGCACTAAGAATATTGGGGAAAAAAAAAAAAAAAAAAAAAAAAAAAAAAAGAGAATAACAGTTTATAGAAGATATAGTGAGTTATTTATCATTTGGGTTTACTTGAAATGGACCCTCAACCTCAATCTGTTGTTTGAGGTGAACTATTATCTAATCAAAGTATGAAACCACCATTTCTTAAAAGATATCTTTAATCTAAGCATACCAATTTATAGGATAAATCTGAAGAATATTTTAAGAAGAAATTCTCGGAGTTCAAAAATACTAAGCAAGTAATGAAAGGTTTTGTTATTTCAAGCTAGTTAGCTAGAAGCTTTGAAAGCTAGCTAACTAGTAAACCTAATAATTGCCAAGACGGGGCCAGGCTCACACTGTTGGAAAAAAACCTTATATTTCCACCAGCAACTATTGTTTGTTTCTATTAAATGAATTAGTTGCTTTTTCATTGAATTGTTCTATTCAATGAAAAAGCAACTAATGAACTTAATAATATTCCGTTATCAAATGATACAGTAAGTCAATGAATTCATGAAATAACAAATTCCATAAAAGAGACATTTATGAAAAAAAAAAAAAAAGTGAGTATTTTACATTGCAATTAGATGAAAGTACTCACAATAACGAACTTTGTTCAATTATTAGTTTATTACGTACGTTTCGAAGAAGATAAACTAATTGCCGAAGAGTATTTATTTTGTGAATCTTTTCATGATAGAGGAATTGCAAATGAAATTTCCGAAGCAATTGACAATTTTATGTCTGAGAATGATATTCCTTGGAATAAGTGCATTGCTGTATGCAGCAACGGAGCCTGGACTTTAACAAGAAAACATTCCAGTGTTATTTCTTAAATAAAGTAAGTCGCACCTGAAACTAAATTTACTCATTGCTCTATTCAGAAAGCTTTTGTAGTCAAAAAAACCTAAAAATCGTTTTAAATCAAGGTGTGAAAATTGTTAAATTTGATTAAAAGCCAAGCTTTAAATTCAGGAATATTTACGATTTTATGCCAAAAGATGGGCAGTGAACATGAAACACTTTTGTTACATTCCAAAGTGGTTATCCAGAGGAAAAGTGCTAAATCGTCTTTTTGAACTTCGATCAGAAATTCAAATTTTCCTCTGTGATTCAAAATTTGAATTTCAAAAATGTTTATTTAATGAATTATGATGTGTGCGTTTAGCATATTTAGCTGATATTTTTGAAGAGTTAAATGAACTAAATTTAGAATTACGAGGACAGTTTTAATTCGTTTACCATTAGAGATAAAATAAATGCAATGATAAAAAAAACTCAAGATAAAATCAAAGAATTGGATAATAATATTTTAAGCTTTTTATCACTTTTAGAAAATTTTCTAACTGACAAAAAATTTGATATATATATATATATAAAAAAAAAAAAAATCAGCATCGGACATTGAAAAGAATTAGACATCGGACAAAAATCATTGTTTCGCATTGATAAATTATTTCAATCTTGTATGTGATAAATAATTTCAGCATTGTATTATATATTTTCCCGAGAATTATGAAAAAGAAAATTGGATTGGAAATCCACTTTGATCAAATGTACTTGAAATTTTATCTTTTGAAGAAAAAGAACAATTGATAGAAATTTCCTGTAATCAAACTCTAACTGAAGACTTCAAAAATAACAAACACACTTTGGTTGAACCAAAAAAGAAATTATAATTTAAAGGCATTTCAAATAAAGCTATTAAATTTTTACTGCCTTTTTGCACAACCTATATGTATGAACAAAGATTTTCTTCCATGTTATATTCGAAAAATAAAAACAGAACAAAATTAAAAGTGGATCCCAATTTACGGTTAAAACTAAGTGAAATAAAACCAGACATAAAGAAATTGATCTCTCTTAAACAGGCCTAAATTTCACACTAAATTTTAGAATTAAAGTATTTTATAATTAAAATGGTAGCCAATTTTTAATCTAATATTTTTTGTGTGTGCATATTTAATACAAATAACCCAATAGGTTGTGCAAATGGGAAAATATATATGTATTTATCAATATTTCTATTCAGAAATTGAAAAATTATTCTTGTGAAATGTAGTGGTGGTACTAAAGATTTTAAATTTTTGTTTAGATGGTACGAATTTGTAATCCTTTCATTGGCTGTATATGAGCTTTATGGATATTTAATTTTAATATAAAGTCACTTTCTTCAAGGTGCTTCCCACCAAAAAGAATGTATTTACATTGCAGGAATATTATATTTCGTAACACGTGTTTAATCAAATATGCATCTGAAAGAAACAGTCTTTATGAATAGATATAAAAAGATAACCATAGCCATCGATATTCAGTTACATTCAGGAGGAAGTGAAATTTGACAAAAACAAAAAGGGGGTTGATTTTTTTGTTTTTTGTTGCATTAAATAGTATATATGTAAAATTAGTAAAATTTAACTTTGAAAGGACACATGTTTATGAAAACAATAGATGTATCGTCATTTCTTCTCAAAGCACTTCACAACTTATACGCCATTTGAACAGCTGGCTAATGTAAACAAACTTCTCTTCCCACATAATCACTCAGTTAATGCTCTACACGAAGTATTATCTCTGCTTAACTTTTTTTTCACTTCTTTATGACTGAAAAATTAGTAATTGTTTTTATGAGTTTTAACTGTTTTCATTTCTGTTCGTGCATTTTTTCTGCTGAATTTCTCTAGTATCTCAGTTGATACACTTAAGACTGCTGCTAGTAAATGATATTTTAGGGCTATTATACAGTTAATTTAGAATGACACGAAGTAACCATTTGTTTTAAAACGTAAAATGTTGGAAAACCAGTTCTTCAGTGTTATTGAGACTGCTGCTGAACCAAGTGAAACTGTGGTGATAGAAAATGACTACTTGGCCCCTTCATGAATTCAATACGATGAATTTGATGAAAACACACAATCTGGACATGAAATTTTATCATTAAATGTTCTGCAGAATGTTTTAGATGAAGTTGGTATTTTTAAAAATTGTAATGGAAATATGTTTGTGCAAGTGAAAAGGCGAATATTCGAAACTCTTTCGAATTTTCCAATACTGATATATTAAAAAACACCAAATTCCAAGTAAATATGTTTGATTTAAACATGAGATTTGTGCATAACCTTTTCAATACTGGAAAAGGTCGAACAGCAGGCAGAATTCTGTGCATATGACGAATTTACCACCTTCACCCACAAAGTTTGCCCAGTGCATTAACATTTTGACTGCTACACCAAAACAAGTATGCACCCAACAAAGAAGCAGCAGCTGAAGAATGCATATCAATTAATGATGATAACCGAGATTTGCATACTGCCTTTGATGGCACATGACAGAAGCATGGCTATCTATCACATAAAGGTGGTGTTACAGTGACAAGTGTTGATATAGGTAAGGTGATAGACATTGCATTTATGTCTAAATTTTGTTCATAAAATCAAGAGTACAGCTGCGGGAAAATCACTTATGATTACTTGAAAATGGTTACCACAACTAAGTAAAGCAAAATCACTATGCTATAGCCAAAGTGCCAACTCATGTGCATGCCCAAAAGAGAGAACTTAGAATGAAACTTCTGACATAAAAAGCATTTCAGCACTTTTTCTGCAATATATGTATTTTTTTAATGTAAATAAGGTGAACTGGCATTTACCTTTAGCTCATTGATTAGGTCTGACTAAAGCAATGAATCGTTCATAATTTTAGCAATATAAACAGCCATATTTGAACACAATTTCAAATTTAGCATAAATACAGATTTTTCAATTTTGGCTCAATTTCTGCAGCAAAATCTTACCTTCCAACTTTAGACTCTGAAATAAATGATAATTATAAAATATACATGCATACAGATGTTCCCATATTACGTAACCTAATTTCAGAATGAATTACTCAACACAAAGCTTACCATTAAGTGCAGAATGATCTTTATCTAGATCTTGAGGCAAAGGAGATGAGTTTAATGAGGGAGAACCATCAGAATAATCTTTCTTTTCAGCCTGAGCTAAAATGGCCAAGACCTAAAAAAATTATTCATTTTAAACTCATATATCAGCATATGAGCATAACAAAAAATTGCACAGAGGCAGCTAAAACAATAAAGAAAAGTTATAAGAACAATTTCAATATAAAGTGGTTAATGAAAACTAAAATCCAAAGATGAATTATCAATTTCAAAATATTAATAGCTACAAACATGATGTGTCATGTTAATTACAACAATACACTTTAGAATGAAGGGTATTTCTTTGTTGATCTGGGAGCACTAATAGAAAATATGGCACTTCAAAAACTACTGTTTATCCAAGCCTAGGGTTAAACAAGCAACAGGCTACCTAAGGCTCAGAAAAGGTAACAGCAGGCAGGAAAACTAACTTCATAGTAACTAAAAGAGTAACTATCTTCATAGAAAAATTTTCCAGATAATTTCTCTACTGATCCCATAGGAAGTAGAAGGAATTTTTTTTTTTTTTTTTTTCATAAAGCTGATAGTAAGATGGTCAAAATATCAATGCAGAAATTTTATGACTACAGCAAATGAAAATGTTAAATAACATTAGACAAATTCATAACTTTCTACAAAGGTACGGTTCCTTTTTCACCTTGCCTTTTAGACATTAAAAATATTGTGCCAAGGTTTGGTTTACTTGATTATGGCAAAGCACTCAAGGGCTTTTGTGGAGGACTTTCTAAGACAAACTGCTTCCATATACATTACACATGGAGAAAAACATGAAAACACTCATGCAGCCAGACCATTCACCAGGATTCAAACTCTGGACTGAACTACCAGCATTCAGCAATTTTACCATGTGTCTACTGGTGGTATTTTTTTTTTTTTTTTTTTAAATATTCTAAGCACACTTATTTTAATATTTTGTCAGCTTCCAGTACTAAAGCATTATATCTAGGATAACTGCTAATGCCCCCTGCCACAAATTTAAGAACATAATTATAAGTAAGAGTAGGAAACAACTTAATGGAGCATAGTAATGCAAATAGTTGATGACACCCCCCCCCCAAAAAAAAAAAAAAAAAAAAAAAAAAAAAAAAATTAAACACAACTTTATGAAACCTAATTCTGCAAATATCTGATAACAGAAAAAAAGCTAAACAGACTGAATGCATCCAAAACTAACTTAAAATAGCAAACAGCTTCATATAGCAAATTAAAACTGTTAAGATTCATTTTGAATATATTAACTCTAAACCTAAATTATATTACATCTATTTAAAAGTAAACAGTAGCAAATAACAATGGAGAACAAATACTAACCCAAAAATATCAGTTCCATTAGATAAAACAGTTACATGGAAAAATATTTTTGTAAAACAACTTCAAAATAATTTTCAATAATTTTTTATAGTCACGGGTTAACCCTTTGCGGCACAGTGAGTCCGGTCTGGACACACCTAAAAATTTCTTTCTGTACGCACAGAAAAATTCAATGAAAAAGGATTTATATGTTACTCTGAACCTTCTTTATTTATAGTAGATGGCAGCTCAACACAAACCAGTCCATATATTTTAGCTATGTTTAGTTTTTTAAGACCCTCATTTTTCAAAGAAATCTTCCAGATTTTTTTAGGGTATAAAAGGAATTGTTTGAAAAGAAATTTCTGTGTTATTTTTTTGGCTGTACACTGATCTCCTTATTCTATATTAGTTTTAAATTTTTACCTTGAAATCTTGCCTAAAATCAAATGGCGAACCATAGGTGTGCCCAGACTGGGCTCACCGATAATCTAGGTCAACTGAGAGTCTGTATTCTTTGTTTCTCCGCATCTCATCGGTCAGTTCATTGACAACAATGCTCATTTCAGCACTCTTTTTGAAGCTCTATTCAATCAGTGTGCCACTTTGGGCACACCCACAGAATTAAAACGATAAGTGCTATCTTCACAAAATTTTACTTGTGTACTCCTCTAAGCCTAAATAAATTATGCCTACCTTTTTTTTTTTTTTTAAACAAAACTCCGACTTAAAAGTTAGTGCGCCGAAAAGGGTTAATTTAATTAAACATTTATTAAATATAACAAGAAAAAGTCATGCTTCACAAAAATAACAAAGCATATTAATAAAGTTGAGAAAATAACTTTTCTACATGCAAATTAAGGAAATAGTTAACAAATATTAAAGAAAAAAAATTATACCACAGCTACACAAAAAGTAGATGGCAGAGACATTTCCTGTTTTTAATGCAAATTAATCTTTAATGTTGCTTAATTCTTCACTTTCCCAAATTTTTATACAACACAAAAAACACATAAGAAGCAAAGAGTTTTTCAAAAATACACATAATTATTCTATAAAACTATTATTTTCAATTATCAGTTTTTAAAGAAAGTTTTACTTTTAAATTTTATTTTTACTTTTTCATGATCTTTCTGAGAATCAACAAGATTAATGCGTTTGTTCTTCAGATGGTGAGGTGTATCACGCCGATGTAATTTGTTGGGTTTATCAGACTGGTCTTCAATATCAGTTTCAAATCCAACATGTTTTTCAATATCCTTAACAAAAATCACACAATTATTATATATATATATATATCAACTAAGATTAATGCATCTAATGTTCTCCTACAAAAATACTGCACAGAATATTTATATACTTTTTGGTACATGTAGTGCTAAAATACACACAGTACAAAATCCAAGATCCAGAATCGTAAGGGTTTCAACACTTATGAATTTTAGATCATTAGTTAAAATTTAAGATTATAAAATTTAAAATAAAAATTGTTTGTATAATAATGAAGCATTTACGATCTTAAGGAAATAAAAATAAAAAAAAAAAAAAGGTTCAATATTTAATTGTTCATTTTATTAGATATTTCTTTCTAATTATTTTAACTGCTTCATTTTCTGTTCTAATACTTTCCTATTTAATTTTATAGATAGATAGTATTTCTTGTTCAATTAAAAAGTTTCACTGTTCAAAATTCCCAATTAACTGTCAACATGAATATTTTCATTTGCAAAACCTCTTTGTTACTTTCTTTACTACCAGTAGCAAAATTTTCTGGATTTAAAACTGTACTAAAGATTTTTCAGTCCATTAGCTGACTCACTGTGAACTCCATTGCATTCTTTACCATCACTTCTCCATATTTCTTCACAAATACCATTATGTGGAAAATTTTATCTTTTGCTTGTGAAAGATGAAACCTTCATATTCATGGCTATCACTCTCATCATAATCATCATGAAATATGACAACTGGTCATAAATTATGCCAAGAATTTTTTAAAAAATGCACAGATATGTCCTCCCATGACCTTGCAATGCTTTACATAACAGATTTTATGTTAAAATATTTTAAAAAGTTAGAGATGATTAGTTAGTTATAAAGATTTTATGTTAAAATATTCAAAAAAAGGTATAAAATGGAAATTTCCATCACAGTTGATTTACGCATTATCATTTCAGAAATCTTATCATTAGGGAAATATTTTTATAAAACTGTTTGAAAAATTTCTTTTTCTCTTATTAACTAATTTCATTTTCAAGCCTTAGTTGGCCCTCTGACTTGAATTATTTTCACTTTAACATATTTTCTTATTTTCACTTCTGCTGCTACTCAACAATTTCCTAGCTATAACACTGAGGATGAGGACTATAAAAGTGGGAAAACAAACAGCTAAACCAGTTCTTTTCTTTGCATGCAGAGGATAATAGTGAAGTCGGTCCAGATAAAAAGACAAATATGAGATAATTTTTTTTTTCTTTTAAAAAAATATTTGTCCTTATTTATTAATCATACAGATTAATTTTTTCCTATTGATTTACTAAATGTTTGTTTAATATGATTAACTTGGTCCATATTTCAGTTTGAATTCTTTTACACTTGATTTTTATTTTTCAATTTACATTTTGTTATCACAGCAAAGTTTTAATCTTTATTTTTACTTCTGCTTATAACAATCTTGATCTTGGGGCCATTTAAATAAGCTTAGTGAGTTTAATTGCCTGGAATTAATTGTGATTTTTCTAATTTAGAATTTAACCTTTCCCACTTTCAATGAACTTTGCCAATGTGATGTGGCATTTTCCTAGCAGTCCTTTTTTATATATACATCATGCCCTTAGCTTTATATTTACACATTTCTGTTTTGCTTTACCAGAAATATAAATTGATCCGAAAATCCTTATATTACTTCTTCCTTTTAGTTGCAATAATTTTAGCTACTAGTAAGCTTAGGTACTAAATTTAATTTTATTTAAAACTGTTTTACCAGTAAACTTTATTTTAAATTTATTATTCAATTTGCATACAGTGTTTCTTGTTATTATCTGTCTCTTGGATCCAGAGAATTTAACTAAGGGCAATGCTTATTCCTGTTCCGATGGCCTCGTAGGAGTTGGGTCAAGCAATGAAGAATAATTTAATTAATTTTAAGTACCATTCAGTTTTATTAAACTTTTAATTTATTTTGACTCAGAAATAAGGTTATGGTTGTAATTCTTGTAAACGAATCCCTTGAAGATGTCGCAAGAAATTTAACACAACATTTTTGGTTTTTATGTCCTGTGCAATAATTATCCTTATGAAATGTTATTTTTATTTATGCTTTCTGGATTTTTATCTAGTTATACTCTTCAGTATTTTATCTTTGCTCTTTGGTAGGAATATGTTTTAAAGATGGAATTATATAATATTTCTTTACACATATATATATGTGTACATTGCGCAAAAAAAAAGGGGGGACAGTTCTATATCTCCTGTTTTACTGGGCTGATTGACGAAATTCAAATTGCGTTTTTCATGTCTTGAAAGCACAACTTATTAGGATATATATTAGATATATATATATATTGTTATAATATAGGTATTTTGACACAAAATCGGACTTTTTCTGAAATGACATGCCAATTTTTTTCCATATTTCGATTCTACCTACACAAGCTGTAGCCTAGGGGGCCTGCTTTCCTTGGAGGCCTCAAAAAAACCTTGTAGGTATCTGAAAATCAAGTTTGGCACTGACACACAATACTTGGACTCATGAAGGACCCCGTATCTCAAACAGCTTACGGCCTTAATCAAATCTAAATACGGCCCTGTTTACGACTCAAACTATGCCTATATATCAAATTTTATAAAATTTAGTGCAAAATTTATGGAAACATTAAAAAATTTATCTTGCAGCATTTTTTTTCCAGCTTTGTGCCAAGAATTTATAGTAACCTATTTACTTTCCTTTTTTTTTATTGATGCATGAGCGGGAAAAAAGGTCTATCGTCCATTCTTTCAAATAATTTTAACAATATGCGCAAGTCACATTTTCGTTAATATCACTAATAAATAAGCTAAATTTCAAAATGCACCAAAATGTAAATTCACATATATCTTAGGAAACTTTGCTTAACAAAACTCTAATTCTTTGCAGGCATGCTTAGAAATATATCTATTTTAAGATGATGGTAAAAATTTTATAGATTATAATTCAATTTTTTTTCAAAAAATTTATAAAAATTATTTTAAAATACAAATTTAAAAAAATCATAAAAAGGGGGCAAATTTTATTTCGAATGAACCTAAATTTTGAAATGTGAAAGCAAGAATCAAATAAGTTTAATAAAAAAAGATATAATTATAAATATATACCAAATTCAATAAAGCTAATTTTTTAAAAACTACTCATGTGATTTTTACAGAACTTGGCAGTTTGGCATAATTTGAGTAGTATAATAAAAATATAGGAAAAAAATTAGCATGTTATTTGAGAAAAAGTCCAATTTGTGTCAAAATACCTATATTAGAACAATCTAATATAAATCTAATCTATATATTAATCTAATACATATCCTAATTGGCGCTTTCGAGACATGAAAAACGCAAATTGAATTTCATCAATCACTCCAGTAGAACAGGAGATACAGAACTGTCCTCCCCTTTTTTTTTGGTGCAGTGTATGTATATGCATATATATATATTGCTGTTGAAAAGAAATACAGTTAAAAATGAAATTATACAATTTTTTTAAATATAGAAATATGCACACACACACATAATAAAATATTAGGATAAGTTTAAATTCATTAGATTTTAACATACCAAGAGACTTGGAATACATTTTAATCACTAGCAAAATAATTTTCATGCCGTAAGAACAACACTTTACAAACAACACTCAGTTAAATCAACTTAATTTTACCAACATAATAATTTTAAAAACAAATTTGTACTTAAGTTTGTAAATGAATTTCAAAACTTTTAAAACACAAAATCTGTAACAAATAAGAGAAAAATTATATCTAACATTATAAATATACCCTGTCAGAACTGTCACCACCAGAATCTTCATCTAATAGATCTTCTCGAGTTTGAGCTCTATACAAGGGACGGTTTATTTCTAGATCAGTTGAATTCTCATCTGGAATTTGGTCTATTTCTGGTAGGTCATCAGAATCTGGAATATCTGCTAAACTCTGAACAGCATCTGCAATGTTATGTAAATGATAACATAAAATCTGCTTTAAGAGAAAATATCTGAATGAACATGTATGGCAAACAACTGCAATTTAAAAGCTAATGCAATGGATGGTTATACCATTTTGATACAAAATTCCCGGTCAATTACAGAAATTGATGGCCAGAATCTCCTAGAGTAGATAGCACTTAATGTCATTACAGTTAGTGCTATCATTTGGATATTATTATCGAATTGCCGAAGTCCCACTATTTTGTATATGAAAACATGGAAAATGTATCTTTTATTGTGATTAGCAATTCAGTTAATGAAATCAAAATACTGTAGAATAAAGTTTTCATACTGAAGTAACCAAATAAGTTTAAAATGCAATTAAAAATTACCAAGTAACATAGAAGTGGCACAAAACATCTTGGTTTCAATTTTAGTCAATCATTTAAAATTAGGCAAAAAAAAAAAAAAAAAAAAAAAAAAAAAAAAAAACGTTACTTTGATGTAGATTTTTAATAACTCTGTCCATTTTGATGGCATCAGACAGACATCATTTTTCTTCAAGAGGAAAAAAAAAGTCTGTAGAACTTTTTTTCTCCTTAAAATATCTACACCAAACTTAAGCTTTCTGTTTCGGGATGGGGGGTCTAATTTAAAATTTTCGGGGGGGGGGGGGGTGTTAGTAATGTGAAATTTTATACACATAAATACTTTTCTAATGAAGAATGGCCTCTTTAAGATTAGCAATACAGTATCAGTCAAATAATTTCCTAAAATGTTATAAAAAGTAACACCATCTTATATTAGGGTTTCAGAAACTCTTGGATTATCCTATTTAAAATGCTGTGAAAATGGCTATTTATGTTTTTCATTGTATTTAAATTAAATTACTTCATCTTCATTGCGCTTTTGAAGGTTGTTTTTTCTCATTGTTAAATGTAATCAAAATTAGCCATGGACAAATGGGATCACATTATGCAGCATCTACTGTATTAGATCTTTAAGTCCTTGCTTTCTCTTAGCATTAGCAGAAATAAGAGATTCAAGTAATTTTCTTTTAGAGCAATTTCACTGCTAATGAAATGGCACACACTGATTCAAACATGTTTATACTATTTTGACAACAGCTGTCATAATACTTATCTAACATTAACTGGCCTTGTATTCAGTCTACCTGAATGTTCTGTCCATTTCTATGACAAAACACATAAGCACATTTATTTGGCACATCTTCTGCTCTCTATTTTTATCACTTAATGTATACATACTAACATAGCAAATTAACTAAAACAAAGTTGATTCATGTTAGTCGTAAGTGTAAAGTGATAGTGATAAAGTTCATTTACGCCGCTGTATTTTATATGAATTTCAACAAGGTAAGAAATGCTATAGAAGCATGTAGAAATTTATTGAAAGTGTTTGGTGAAGGTACAGTTTCTGATCAGACATGCAAAAAATTGTTTAAAAATTTTGAAACAGTGATTTCGACCTTTCTGATAAGCCACGTTCTGAGCAACCATCTTTGACTGAATGACATTAAGACCATGTTGGAGCAAGATTGTTTTTTGACAACAGCAGAGATCGCAAAAAGGCTTAATTCAGCTCAGAAAACCATTTCGGACCATATTCGAAGACAGGATTGATGTGGAAATATTCAAGATGGTTGCCACAGGAATTACATCAGAAGAATCTGGATGCATAGACTCCAACTACTACGGATTCTCCGTAGTTTCTACGGAAATTCATGAAAAACTACGAGCTACGAAAAGTATGGAAAAACTACGGATTTTACAGAAACAAGAGCAGGAGAACCAGTACGCAAAACAGAACCAACTAATTCATCCGATGATTGGCTGAATACTCGTGTTATCATATATCACGTGATGAGTGCGTTCCTAGTTTTGAAGAATTAGCCAATCGTAGATCAGTAACTCCAACCGTTAACGACTTATCAATAGTTCCACCCAATAGTCTGTCTCCCAGGTTCCTCGCTGATGCGTGTTTAGGCTGCATTCGGCTGCATTGTGTAGTTTACGGCGAGAGCTTAGCGTGTGTCTTGTGAACTGTGAATCAGGTGAAAGATTTTTAATCATAATGCTGCCTCGAACGAAGAAGCCAAAATTATCAAAGCAGAAGTTTAAAGATTCATATTCTTCAGAATTTCCATGCATTAAAGCGTCCGAAATTTCTGTGAATCACGCACACTGCAGTGTATGCAACAAAGACTTCTCAGTTGCTCATGGCGGAAAAGATGACTGTAAACGGCATGTGTTTTCTCAAAAGCATATAGAACTTGGCACCGTAAAATCTAAAGAAATAACAAATTTCTTAATAAAAGATGATGATGAAACAGATCCTATAAAAGCCGAATGCTATTTTGTTCATTTTTTAATTGAACATAATCTACCGCTTTCTGTTTCGGATCATTCCAAAGAGCTTTTCAAAGCAATGTTTCCGGATTCTGCCATAGCAAAAAAATTTAGCTGCGGTCATACCAAAACTGCTGCTATTGTGAAAACGCTTGCAGAAAATACTGTTGCTGATATTATAAAATCAGTGTGCAGTACATCATTTTCTCTAAGTACTGATGGAAAGTAATGATAACAATGATAACAAACTGTACCCATTGGTTATAACATACTACAGTAAAGAAAAGGGAGTGATAATTACTTCATTGATTTCTATTTTAGAATGCACGAATAATACAGGAGAAGGTATTTTTAATTGTATAAATGAAAACTTTAAAAACAAAGGTTTAGAATGGAAAAATTGCTTATCATTTTCTTCAGATAATGCTAGTAATATGATTGGAAAGTTTAAAGGTGTGTAGCATCATTTATCAAAATGCATCAACCAAGTATAATCACCCGAGGTTGTCCGTGCCACCTCTTGCATATAGCTGCCAAAAAAAGCTACTGAAAAATTAATTGGCTCAGAAATTGAAATGTTGATAATAGATATATATTTTTACTTGGAGAAAAAGTTCGAAATGGAAGCATAGCTTCAAAGTTGCTCAACAAATTTTGGGACAGAATGCAAAATCTCATAAAATTTTGAAATATTGCAGTACGAGATGGTTGTCTCTTTTAGAATCTATAACAAGGATTTTGGAAACAGTGGGATGCTGTGATAAATTTTTTGGAGATAAACCAGATAACAGTGAGAATGAAGGAAAGAGATTGCAAAACATTAAAAAAATTTTACAGTCACCGACCACCAAATTGTACTTGTTATTTTTGAAAAATACTTTGCCTTTGTTTATAACAGTAAATATTAATTTGCAACAACAAGCTCCTTATATACATAAATTGAGAAGAGAACTTTTTGAACTTTTAATGAATTTATTTGTTAGATTCGTAAAACCATCAGTAATTTCTAAAGAAAATGAAGATGTTACTCTAACGTCTATTCCATTTCAGAAGTATAGTAAACAAAAAGAAAATGAAAATTTAGTGATTGGTGCGGAAACAAGACTATATTTAAAAAATGCCAAGTTGAATGAAAGTGAAGTGAAATCATTTTTCAATTCTTTTTTTGTAACTGCATGTTCATATATAATTGATAAATTTCCACTGAGTGATCCATTTCTAAAACATGCTGAAGTTGCTGACATCAACTTGAGAACTGAAGTCTCATTTTCATCTGTTCTTTACTTGATGAATACTTTTCCATCCATTATTGATGAAAAATGTCTTAATCAAGTAGAAATTGAATTTTCCATGTATCAAGTAGATGATTTGAAAGAAATTGTAGATTTGCGTATTGATATAGCATGGGGAGAAATTGCCAAATTAAAAAATATGAATGGGTGTATTAAATACAAAGTATTGCCTTCTGTAATGCTTGCTGTCTTAATAATACCTCATTCAAATGCAGCTTGCGAAAGAATTTTTTCTATTGTTAAAAAAAATCAGACGGAATTTCGACCAAATTTAGGTCTTAAAACTCTTGAAGCAGTTTTGATTGAAAAAATAAATATGCAGGCAAATGAAGAACTGTGTTATAAAAAAACATTCTCAAAATCAGAACTTAAGCTGCTAAGCATGCTACATATAAATCTTTGCATTCATAAATTATGCGTATTTTGTTTAATACTTATATGTATCATTCTTGGTTATTTAAATTTTATTTCCCTGTAGAAATCATATCCAGAATAAAGATATGATTTATAGCTTCTGATTTTTTCTATGATTAGTAGTGATTTGAAGTACTTTTTATTAGTGAATGCTTGAGGAGTTAGTTAAAAGAAAATTTCTAATTAAATGTGCATATAATTTACAAGGTATATTTTTAATTATTCAGTTTTATATGTATATGGATTTTAAATGTAATAAAATTGATTACAATTAATTATTAATTTAAAATTAATGAATGGTTAATTACAACATACGCTACGCGCACATTTTCAAAGTTGTAAAAATGTCGTTCGCGCGTTGACTACTGACAAGGTTTGCTGAAGGTTGGAGTCTATGTGGATGATAAAGTCGTCTTATGCACATCTCTGCTTGCTCGGAACAAAATCGAGCCCTTTTTGAACCGGATGATAACTGGGGATGAAAAGTGGAATAACTACAAAAACATTGTAAGGAAAAGGGCATATTGTGAACCCAGAAAACCTAGTGCTTTCATCTCTAAACCAAAAGTATGACTTTGAATAAGAGAATGTTGTGTATATGGTGGGATATTTGAGAACCAATACATGAGCTTTTAAAACCGAAAGAAAAGCACAATTCAGAGAAGTAGTGTCAGTAACTGGATAATTTAAAGAGAGCAATCCAAGAAAAGAGGCCGGCAATGTTCAAAAGGAAAGACATCATCCTACATCATGATAATGCCCAGCCACATGATGCTCAGGGGACTCGTAAAAAAATTGCAGAACTAGGCTCGAAAATTCTATTGCATCCACCATATTCCCCAGACTCAGCACCCTCTGACTATCACTTGTTTTAGTCTTTAACAAAAATTTTTGAAGGACAAAAAATTTGAAAATGAAGAAGACATCAAACAAGCACTGGTTCAATTTTTTGCATCAAAAGATACAATTTTCAAAACTGAGATATACAAATTGCTCTCACACTGGCAAAAAGTTGTTAATAATAATGGCATTTATATTATTTAATAAAGTTCGACAGTATTTTATTTTATTCCAAAAACGGCCCTTCCAATAATAATAAATAATAATTTTGCTGTCATTCATCAATGAGGAAATGGCAGGCATCATTAATAAATCATATTACAATTAAAATAACTGCAATAGTGGTTATTGTTGAAACAACAGTTTTGCCTGTTTCTTAAACATTTTATGGCCTAAAAATATATCTGAAAGCTTTCAGATTTTATATTACAACTGCCTAGGTGGTATAGTGGTTAGGGGAGCTGATTGTAATACCGAGGGGCGCGGGTTTAAATCCCGGAGAAGCCATGGATGTAAATTGTCTGTCCCCTCATAGAATGTAACAGTAGCTACCTATTAGGTGCCTCCAAAATAAAATGGCCACCTCTTCTGGCCTTAGGAGTGCCAAAGCCATTATAGGTAAGTGCCCGCTACTGGGGGGAAAAAAGATTTTATATTACGCCCGAAGGGGCTTTTATTTTAACATTTTATGTGTTACCTTATTTGCTAAATATCATTTTTTTCGCACTTAAACCATAAAATTTTCAGAAAAGCAACAGCAGTATTACAAAATATTTAAAACAGCATATCTTTAGAATTTCTAATACCCAAATACTGATACATTCGCACTAGAGATAATGTTCCCCCCCCCGGCACAGTGTTGCCATTGCTTGCTTTAAAACTGTTGAGTTTTTTTAATTAAAAACTCATAAATGCTTTACTAAATATGAAATAGATAATAAAACAAATTCCAAATTTAGGCTTCCAGATGCCCATATTCAAGTGGAGACGTCATTTATTCAAAATTTGATGGCTCTAGGTACCGTTGTTTTATCACTATGTGAGAAACACATACTCTTAAAATATAATACAGGGCTCTAATATTTGGTGGTCAATAATTTAAAAAATGATTCACCATTTATAGTGAATCAATGCAAAATACCAAAACAAAATTAATAGCCCTTCTGGGCATATTGCCCCTTTGGGCTTATAAACTGCTTTTGGCAATGACTGTGGTACCATGAGGTACTCATCATTTTCACTGGAAGTCTTATATTCATGATATATCCTAAAATCACATATTCAGTTTTCAAAACATTAAACTCACTAAATTCAGTGTCAACAATTCCTGTGGAAAGCATGTTGATGTATATTCTAGCATCATCTGATTCACTATCTTATATGTAACTCTTTTTTATCAGGGTTAATGCAGTATAACTTGAAACTATTTTATATCAGGGTTAATACAGTATAACTTTAACTGACATTTACACTACATACAGGAAGAAGAATCACAAAATCTTCCAGAAACCAGCTCCTTTTAATAAGCATAATAATAATAGTAATTTTGAAATGAAGGATAAAAATTCAAAATAATCTGATTATTCTTATTTTTTTCATTTATTCATTTATAATACATGGATTTAAAAAAAAAGGATGGGAAAAAGAAAAATAAAATTACCTTTGAACTGAGTAGCTGATGTCTCTGAACTTGAAGACGTAACTGATGTAATACTAGACCTCTGTGGCCTAAAACTATCAATTATTTCATTTCCTTTCTGAAAAATATATTAAAATTGTAAAAAGATTAAAATACTCAGTTAAACAAAGCAAAATTATATTATTTACACTATTTTAATCTGATATCACAATTTAAAAAGCAAAACGTTTTAAAAATTAACATAAAAAGTACACTTTTCCTACATTAACACTTTTAAAAACAGTTTATTCAACACACGGTATTATAACTTGCTATCAATTTAAAGGCACTTTTTAAAAATGTAACAACAAAAGGCCAAAAAATAAACAGGATATAGAGCCTTATGCATCCAAACAGCAAATGCAGTGCATCTAAAATATTACCTCTTCATGGGCCACAACATGACCATCAATGTTTTTAGACTTGCTAACAAGCAACTTATTGTGCCTAGCTTTTAACTCTCGTGGATGTGGTGTGTCATGCCGCACAAACTGAGTCTAAAAAACAAAAGGGAAAACAAAATAGTACTGAAAAATTCAAAAAAGCATGCAGTGTACAAAGCGTCTGATTAACTAGGGAATTCCAATCACATGCAGATAGCACTGTCATCTTAAAATGAAACACAAACTTCAAACTTAAAAGTATTTAAAAATAAAAATCATCTTACTATTACCTAATGAATTTCAGTTATTACTCACTGATGATAACCAGATACTAATGAATAATTATCTTCATATCTTTGTATACTCTACTTCATTCATTATATAACAACAACTGATATAATCTATCAATAACAATTTTAATTTTCTATACCCTTGTAAAGTTTTAAATGAATAGATAGATAGGCTATGGATCTTAAACAGAATGTTTGAACATTGCCCTGCCCATATAATGCATAAAAACCGTTAATAAAATTTTATTTAAAAATGGGAATACTTAAAAAACTATGAGTGATTCATACAGATTACCTACCAATTTTACCATTATGTAAACAGTATATCATCAGTCACTCATTTTATGTCTCACAGCAGCAACACCAAAGTTCCATAGTTATGAAACTTTTGAACTCAAAAACTTCGCAGAAATATTTAAATAGTACACAATGTACGTAATTGAAACATTCAATAATACAAATTTTACAGTAATACACTATAAGTCAAGGAAAGAGGAATGCCTTTATGCCATGCTAAGTCAGCTTGCATTTGCATTACATATGGGAAGAATAGTAGCTTCTCACTAAATAAATGGATTATTTAATAAGCATGTAACAATCTCTTGGTTAGGAACATGACTGAAAATAGCTCAGAAGATTGTCTTTAAAATCCTTAATGAATATGAACAAAAATAATAAAGCAGATAATTTTTTAAATCTTAAACATGTACATGAACTCTTGCTCCACAGACATGGATACGTGACATGGTAGAGATAAACAAATAATATTAAATACACACTGTAAGTATCCTCAGTTCTCCAGCATTAAATGAATGCAATAAGAGGGGAAATGGAATCCCGAGAAAAGGGAAATCCTAAAAATGGGAAACCTCTGTGATAATACAATTTTTAAAAAACTGAGAAATGACAGCTCTTTCTCTGTTATGTATGTGTGTGTGCACATGTGTCTTCATATGTGTCAGAATTCTATAGAATTTAAAACAAGAACAGGATCTTATAAAAATGGAGAATTTATAATTCTTCTTTTCAGCATTGCTACAGCACATCAGTTATCCACATTAGCATCCCATAGTGGTTGTAAGGTTTAAAGCAAAATACAATTTATAATCTAACAATAACAATTCTAATTCACAGTTTTTCCCTGAGCACCATTCAAGGGCTGTGAAAGGAAACTTCACTGATCCACTTGGGCAGTATATTTTCCTACACCAATCCACAGAATTGCTGTTTCATTTTTTTATTTTTGCACTGTTATAAATGTCTCTAGTAGTTCAGGAGATACTAGATTGTAAAACCAGTTCAATGACAGGTTTTAGTGCTTTTCATTTACGGTTTTGTGTTACCGTAAATGGAATTATGGAATCTGGTTTACAGAAGGAATGACAGTGGAAAATAAGCCATAAAAGAAATCAGATATTTTTGTCCCAATTTGTGATACTGGACTCTGCTTATTTATATGTTTTAAAATATATCATGTCAAAGCTGAATTTTGAAAAGGAATAAAACTGTAAATATTTTAAATTCCCTAACATTTATCTCCTATTAAGAGTTCTCTCCAGTTCCACAACTTTGTCAGGAAAAAAAAAAAAAAAAAAAAAAAAAGACAACTTTAACTAAAAACTTTTATCATAATTAACTTTTACCTAATTAAAAATTATTTTAAATTAATAAATGTAATACTTGAAACAGTTTTGACTGCTGATTTGTATTGATGTAATCGATTAGAATACAAAATTTTAATAAAAATATGCTTATTTTTGGTTACAATATGGCAGAAAATTTAGACTGGTAAGTGGTAAAAACACTGGAAGAAATAGAATTACGTTTGGCCTGATGAAATCCAAGTAGAACATATGGTGGACTCAGCATCTTATCAAAAAATTTACACTTTACTATGTTCACCCACTTTATAAATAAACATATTCACTTTTTCTATTTTGAAGAAAGTATAGCATAAATCACATTACTGTTAACAATTTTTCCCAATTAAACATATCCTTAGAACTTTTTATGCAAAAACATTAAAACACAATGAAAATATTCTTCCATCAAAGCTAAATTTGCTTTGAAATACTACTAAAAAAAATGAACATGCAAAAGATGGCAGTGCTATCAGGTCATACTATTTATAAAATTAGCTACATATCTAAAGCACCTAAAAAGTAAAGCCAAAAATTCTGTAAATTAAATGCCTACAAATTATGTAGCAGCAAAAACATTAAATAATCTGTAGATACAAGTGGCTGAAAGAAACTTAACATGAATAAGTAATGTATTTTTAATTTTTTCTATGTGCTGAATATTAAAAGATATCCAAAAGAAAATTCTTAATCAAAAGAAAAATTAATATTTGCATACTCAAAACATTCAAGTATTTAAAATACTAATGTTTAATAACTGTAATAGAATTTCAAGTAATCAAAAACTGAACTTATCACAAAAAAGTTAACACTGATTTTTAAATTCGCATTTTAAATTAATGAAGGCCTACTGTTTGTTCTTCATAAAGTAAAACTGACCAAAGAGAAGTCTTTATATTCCCATCCATCCCCCTTTGAAAAAAAGGAATGTGAATTTTTATTTAACATTTTATACTTAAAACAGATCTTGAAAACACAGTTTCCAACTAAAAAAAAGCTAAAAAAATTTCAATTATTCTTTAAACATATAGCACAACTGTGAAATGGATGAAAATGACACTCTTTTTATATACTTTATGATAATCTAAGCATTAGCTGAGAGTTTTATGCTAAATTTTTGTTTCCTAATTTTGAATTTTTTCTGGTTTGGTTATTTCAAACACGTGAATCAATACAGCTGGGATCAGTAACATTCCTCAAGATGCAGACCAAGTAAGTTACCGGACTTTACATACTATGATTTCTTTAATGGAAGGTTTTCAACAGATGCCATTCATATGCCATCTCTACCATTTCCTTGCATTCAAAAATTTAACCACAGCTTGGATAGAACTGCAAGGAGTTGGTTGCAGATAAAAAGATTAAACTTGCATAGTTTTACTTTCTTTTGATAAAAATTCAAATTTTTTAAATATTCAAAAATTACATGCAATTAAATACTGATATCTTTCTGAACAACTCATTATTAAATTTTTAGTTTTATAGATTACTCAACAATGATAATCCTTTACATTCAATTTTAAGATTTGATTACAATTCGATTTTAAGAGGTAATATAATTTCATTTTATGTCATTGCTTTTTATATGAGAAAGATGGCCCCGAAAGTGAATATTTCATATTCATATCATCTGCAAAACTATCCTGTCATTCTGAATACACACTGAATCTCTTCTTCCCTTTAAGATATTTACCATTTAATGCTTTCTACCATCTTCAAAATTTGTACAGCAAAGCCTTTCCATTCAAAATATCTTCTTAATACATTACGTACACACTGTTATGAGCATTTTATAATCATATAACAAATATTAAACAAAAATAAGATTTTAACTGATAAAAAAATATAAAATTTCTACCAATAATTCTGAAAATATTTAATCTTGGCAAACTTAAGAAAGAATTTTAAATTATAAAAATACAAGAATTAAAAACCCCAGTAGAATTGTTTCAAATAACCATGCCTGCTGTCACTCATTATTCCATAAATTTTCAAAAATAAATTTATTACATATATTAATCATATTCTTTAAAACAACACAGTTCCAGATTTGTATTTTAAGCTACTATACAGCTTATAATAACAGTTTTCAAAACATATTTTAGGGTATTATAAGAAAAAAAGGACAACACATTTTAAAATAATTTAATTTAATAATAATTTTTTAAGTAACCACAATTTTAAAGCTATCTTAAGAGCAAAATTTCTTAGATATTACCACATAACAAAATAGTGCTGGGAATCAAAATTTTTATGCTTTAAAAAAATTCTTTCAAAAATAGCAAGGAAGGGGAAATTATTAATATTACTTAAACTATAAATAAAAAAGAAGAATAAATATATCAAACAGTGCAATTATTTATGAAAAGCACCTACAAGGAGAACTAAGTTCTTACCTCCTTGTCTTCAATATCATCGACTTCCTTCTCATCTTCTATGAATTTTACAGATGAAGTTCTGTCAGCCTTTTGGTCCCAACTCAAACGGCTATCTTGCTCTCCACTGTCTCTCAGCAAATTTTCTATTACGAAGGTGGGAAAAAAACTTTAGCTTTGCTTTACAAGTTACATATTTTTACAACACACATGAAACATCACATACTGATTTTTTTTTCTTCTCTTAAATTTATGAAAGAAAACTTATCACAGTTTTAAAAAAATCATCTAGCTCCAATTATACTACTTGGTCATCCTGAAAATTCTGTGGCTTTTCAAGTCAAAGTTTGTTTCTTCTTACCAATTACTGGTAATGACCTTGATTGAAAACAGATGTTTAAATACCATCTTTTTTTCTCCTTTTGCACAATTTTAGCATATGTTGTGGCATAGTTTTGTTTCCATGAACTGCTAAGAATGGAGAACCTGAAAGCTCATGTTCAGCTTACTACGCTCTTTTATTTTAAAAAAGGAAAAAATGCTAGTCAAACCATTCACAAAATTTGTGCTGTATAAAGGAAAGGTGCTGTTTCTGATGATGGATTTTGAAAAAGGTACTAAAAGATTAATCATGAGAATTTTAGCTTCGAAAATGATGACTGCTCTGGACAATCATCCTCTATCAATGAGGACCTATTAAAAGAAATTATTTCTGAAAATCCACATTATACAGTTTAAAAACTATCAGAAAGACTACATATCCCAAAATGTGCAGTATTTTTTCATTTGAAGAAGACTGGTATGAAAATCACTACAAAGTATGGGTATTCCATACTGTAACACAGCAGAATATGCTTGCCTGAGTTCCCGCATGTGCTTATTTGCTGAAAACAAATAAAGAAACTCCTCTTTTAAAGCAGCTCAGTAATGGAGAAGAGACATAGAAAAATAATGTTACATTCAATAATGCTAGAAGAAAAAGGTCATGCAGTAAGGAAACTCTGTTAACAAACTTTAAGTAACATCAAAAAGGGCCCTCCTTCCAAAAAAAGTAAAGTGTATTGAGACTACAAAAAAATTGTGTATTATAATTGTTGCTATCAAATTAGACAATAAATTCAGATGACAAATACTGTTCTCAAATGGCAGTTTAAAAGCAGAAATCAAAGCAAAGTATTCAGAGCTGACCAATCATTGAACTGTGTTGTCTTCTTTCATGATAATGTTCAGCCACACATTTGGATGAATGTCACACAGACTTACTGAGCAAGACAGGGACATTTTATGTCATTCCCCATATTTACCAGATCTCGCCCCTTTGGATTTTCATCTCTTTATAATTTTCTGAATGCCCTGGTGCTTACTTCTTTGGAGACTGTCACACAGCACGAATAACTTTTTTATGAATAAACCTAATGACTAGAAAAAGAGTTTTCCATCTGCTGGAGAGATGGCAAAATGTCATAGAACAAAATGGTGCTTATGTGAAATTTTCTTATGCTTTTGTACTGCTTCATTTGTATGCCATCAAAAAAACTGCAAAACTTTCTGGATGACCTAATATATTTCTTCATATAATATTTTAATCAAAATGCCTTGTTAATAACAAAATTTCATATTTAACACAGGATTAAACAGACTTAGGTTTCATCTAATCTGTTTAAAACAACAGTCTCTTAATAGGTAATTTAAACAAATTACATAACATAAATTATTATTACCAATTTCTTTAAACAAAAGAGACAAGGCAAGGGATATTTTTGGAAGAACACATACACAAACCATCACCAGTCAAAGAAAAAGCTCTTTTAAGTTGTCAAAGATTTTGTAAAGAATTGCTTTATCATGCTACACTGAACTGGTAAAGCTAGAAATAACAGAAGTTTAGTGGCAAGCCCAAGAGTCACCTCTTGAAAACACTTACCACGTTAGCCATCTTAAAGCAGTTAAAGCTTGTAATACAAATTAATGTTGCATCAAGGATTTAACATAATGGCATATATTTATAAATACCTGTGTATCACAATTTCTAGTAAGAACATGTGTCAGTGCATATGTCATTCTTTTAGAAGATGTTACTCTTTAACATAATATGGACACAGGTATACCTCGCTCATTCATACTTGAATCTTTTTGCTCTAAAATTTTTCAGCAGATTCACTGCCTTTTTCATGCCGGTATTTCAACTTCAACAAAATTAATTATCAAGCGCTATTTTTGGCCTAATATGAAGAAATTTATTAAAACTGCAATTCAATCATGTCTACAGTGCCAACGTTCGAATAAATAGTGTAAGATATGACCTCTTTCTCTCAATAGTTAATTATTCAATTGTAAGACAATTAAACTTTAAATATATATGCATATAGTACATGTAATGATTAATATTACATTGATTAATGTAAATAACTGATGATATGTGTATTAACATAGTGAATGTTCGCTTTTATGAAGTTCTAAGCATAACTTTAAATACCATTCATAAAACTTTTATCTCATATATACAAACATGACAATATCTATTGAGTTTTCGTTTATTCTTTGGAATGTATATGAAAGTTTAAATATTTTTTTTTAATTTAGTGTAGATTGGAGTAAAATATCTGTATCTTTCTTTATTTCAATCGGTAATATCTGTATGCTGGTAAAGGTACATATGTTCGTAAGAATTATACTGTGTCACATTTTTGACAATCTTCTTTCATTCATATTAGCTAATAAGAGAATTATTGAAGTTAGTAAAGTAATGAAAATCAACGTTATTGAAAGAAAACTCTAAAAGCATTTACATTTCCAGAAATATATCAAAGTTCCTTTTCTTAAAATCAGCAGGTGTATCGTAGTTTTTATTTCTCTTTCATTAAAAGCTGAACTTGTAAAATAAAAATTTTCTATTAGTGTAAGGTAAACAAAAAGAAAATCAAGAGACAATCCGTATCATGAATGAAATTCAAGTCTTACATCGGATTAAAAAGAAATATTCTGAATCTAAATGTTTATGCCTATTTAGCACAAAATGCGTTTATTTGTGTTATAAATTTAACTAAAACCATTCTTATAACAGTATGTTGCCTTTAAACTGGGTAAAAGTGTTAAGTATATTTTCTGATCGTATTGATATACCTGTCAAAGAAGTTCTAGAAACCTCAAATGTCGAAAGAGCATATGATAAGAATCTCCTTTCCTATCGCTACGTCAGTTACAGGTTAAGGGGTGGCTTGAATGGATAAAGGAAATGTTTGTGCAAAAATATAGTAGTTCTATTTTGAAATGAGAAATAATTCGCTTTTTGTCAATTAAGGAAACTTGTGGTATTATTAAACAGAATGTCAGTGAAAGACATTGCGTTTCCATAGTGAATTATGAAGGTACTGAAATGTAGTAAAGAAGGTGAATGATAGAATTAATTTGAACAAATAAGGTAAGGCTATCATTAAAAGAAAAATCTGTTTAAAAGATGTATGTTAGAATTAAAAGTAAGATGTTAAAATTTAAAAAGATGTAACAGAGTAAAACCAAAGAATACTGGTAATTCCTATCTGGAAAACAGTAATTTGAGTACGATATTGAAAAAGTTGGTTTTAAGAATTTCTTTATGCATGTGATGCAAAACAATTGCTAGTTTATCATGAGTGCTGACATAGATGCAATTAGTGCAGGAAAAACAGTAAAATTAGTATAGTTAGTGTCTCTAAAATATGAAAAAATAATAGTGTGAGCAGTGTAAATTCATTTGAAAGTACTGAAATATGACATAAACTAAATATCAGAAAATGTAAGAAATATTTTGGTATGTGTGGATGAAACACTGAACGTGGTTGTAAAATTAGAAATGAAAATTATCAACACACTTAAAGGTAATCGGGATTTAAAACTAAATATGATGTTAGAAACTTTTAAGACCATAAAACTATATGAGAAAGAAATACAATTAGATATAAATGGTATTAAACTGTAAAGTTGTGAATGGAAATTTCTGAGTAAAACCTGTAGATGATCTATTATGATCGAGGAATAAAACAAGTATTATAAAAATTGTAAGGAAATATTTGAATATGGAGTAAATGAAAACAATCCATATCGTTAAAATGAATAAAAAGGGATAAAATGTTGGAATTACGAGTGATGAGACAGAAATAAAAACATTATAATAAATAAGTTAAACTAGAATTAAGAAATATAAACACAGAAGGGAAATCGTGAACGTAAAAAAAGCAATTAACAGTTATAGACTTAAGTTTTTAAAAAAATATTCGGTAATATAAGGAAAATATTGTTGAACATGTGAAAGAAATTAGAAATTCTGTAGGAAATTTAGTCAAAGAACTAAGATCATGAAAAATAAACGTTTCTTTTTAAATACAATTTCATACCACTAAGTTAAAAGTGTGTATAGAATACTAGAATGGTTTAAAAAAAGTAAATGAAGTTAAAATTCAGAATATATTGAAACATTATAACGTTAAAAAAAAGTGTGAAATGAAATGCATCTAAAATTAAGTAATGTAACAAATAAACAGCACGTGCGGGAACGTTTGTGAAATATAACATATAAGTTAAAAATCAGGGTATGCTGAAATTTATGAAAGGTGGGGAAAAAAAATAGTATGTGGAAATTAAATAAAATATTACAAATTAGAAACGTTAAGTATTAAAAAAATATGACAGTAAATGAATATGTTATTATGAACAGAAAACCTAAGAAATAAGTTAAAGTTTCATGGAAAACTAGAAAGGATAAAAGTATCAGAATAAAATTGAGTAACAAAAACAAATTATCTTGTAGTTTCATTTTCATGACATGATGAACTATCATTAAAGGAAAGTCTTTTTTATATTTGTTTCTTTTACATTGTTTTCAGAGTCGCGCATTGAATAATTTTAACACCAGACTTAAAAAATATATATCTAAAACATATAATTCACTTTTTCATTAATAGAGGGCAGCATCGCTATATCATCAAATTAAGATGCAGAAAATATTTCCCGTTGCCAATATAAAAAAACTAACTTTAAATGAAAAGCAGGAGGTCTACAACTCAATCAGCAGTCTACCAACAACTCAACTCCACTCGAAACCACGCCTCCTAGTGTGATGACGTTGCCTTTGGCCCCGCCCTCTGTGATGTCATTGACCACGCCCCCT